GGATATGGGATATGGGCTGGGATAGGGGATATGGGATATGGGCTGGGATAGGGGATATGGGGCCGGGATGTGGGGTGTGGGATATGGGATATGGGCTGGGATAGGATAGGGGATATGGGGCCGGGATATGGGATATGGGATATGGGCTGGGATAAGGGATATAGGGCGGGATGTGGGATATGGGATATGGGGCCAGGATATGGGATATGGGATGTGGGATATGGGATATGGGGCCAGGATATGGGATAGGGGGCTGGGGCATGGGATGTGGGATATGGGGCTGGGATATGGGATGTGGGATATGGGGCTGGGATAGGGGATAGGGGATATGGGACTGCGATATGGGATATGGGGCTGGGATAGGGGATATGGGATATGGGATAGGGGGCTGGGATATGGGATATGGGATAGGGGCTGGGATATGGGATAGGGGCTGGGACATGGGATATGGGATATGGGGCTGGGATATGGGATATGGGGCTGGGATATGGGATATGGGCTGGGACATGGGATGTGGGGATGGGACATGGGATGTGGGGCTGGGACATGGGATATGGGCTGGGACATGGGATATAGGGCTGGGACATGGAGCTGGGTTATGGGATATGAGCCCGGGCCATGCGATATTATTGTGGGCCATGTTATATGAGGCTGGGCCATGCTATATGTGACATGGGCATGTGATATTATGCTGCGCCATGCTATGTTATGGTTGGCCATGCTATATGAAGCCAGGCCATGGGATACTATGCATGGGAGGGAGGGAGGGGGCGCATGGCAGACATGGCTCTGCCTCACAGCCCGTCACAGGGCACTCGGGCTGCCCAGCCGGGGAGCGGCAGGACGAGGGCACGGCTCGGGCTGTGCCTCACTTCCTTGGGAGCAAAGGGTTCTTCACCCAGAGGATGGTCAGGCACTCGAACAGGCTCCCCAGGGATGTGGCCACGGCACCGAGCCTGATTGCTCAAGATACGTGTGGACAACAGCACATGGAGGATTCTTGGGCGTCCTGTGCAGGGCCAGGAGTGAACTCGATCCTTGTGTGTCTCTTCCAACTCAGAAGATTCTCTGATTCTGTTCCTCCCTCAGTCTTCGAGAGGACTCTTTGCCCACAGGCTCAGCTGTGCAGATTCACAGGATCACTGAGACAGAATCCCTGAGCTTCCTGAGCTGGAATGGACCCAAGATCACCAAATGACTTAGGTTGGAAAAGACTTCTGAGACCATCAAGTCCAACCTATTCCCAGTGCCCCTGGTCAGCTACATCAGGGCACTGAGTGCCATGACAATCCACCACCTCCCTGGGGCCACACATTCCAATGTCTCATTACTCTTTCTGTGAAGAAATTCCTCCTGATACCCAGGTGCAGCTTAAGACTCTAAAAGGATGATCAAAGCCCAATTCCTGTCCTGGCACAGGACACCCCCAGCAATCCCACCTTGTCCAAAGCTCCTTGAGCTCCAACAGGCTCAGTGCCCTGATCACTTTCCTGGGGAGCCTGTTCTGGTTCACCCAAGAGCTTTGGGAGACCCACCTTTCCTCACACAGCCAGCAGCCACCCTCAACATGGGTTTTTATCAGATTAATTATTTTTTCCTCTTCCAGCTGTTTTGCAGAACCTGGGTGGAATTTGGGCCCCTTAGCCCAGTTTATGTTGATTTCTGTGGGGTCAACATCTAAGTCCTGCTAGTCACAAAGTGTTGTAATATCTCCATGCTTAATTTTGGGGGTAAAAGTGGCAAATTCTGGTCCTTGTGGAATACACTGAAGAACACAATCATGCTTTTCTTTAGACGTAGTTAAAACCCGAGTCTTCTCTGTGTTCACATGTTTGAAAACTGAGTTTGAGTTTGTACTTACTATTGTAATAAAATATCTGAAATGAAGAGTGCACTTTTGTCCTTTCTCTGATCAGACATCCAATGATAAAGAAGAAAGAGTGGTGCTTTAATCCTCAGCACCTGGACATGCTTTGGCTTCTCTGTTTGACTTGGGTAGGAAGTAATAATTAGTATTTTCTTAGAAAACACTAATTTTCCCAGACTGGATTGGAAGACACCTCAGAGATCATCTTGTTCCAATCCCTGCTGTGGGCAGGGACAGCTCCCACTCGACCAGGTTGCTCCAAGCCCTGTCCAAGGTGGCCTGTTCCAATTCTGTTTGCCTTCAGTGTAATTATGGAGCAAATCAGTAAATCCCTGCTGTGGGCACTCCCTGAGAGAGCTGGGAAGTCTGTCCAAAGAGCAGAGCTTCAAGAAACAGGACTAAAAAAAAAGTGATCAGCATGGCTGGAGAGAGGAACACGTGTGCAGAAGGAGAAGGGAAAGGCTGGGTGCCTGGGTGATGGGCACTGCTCCGAAGTCCATGTGATTGTGTATGTTCACATCTCGATATAGAAACGATGTGACTATGAATCATCCTGCCAGGAGAGCATGTGGGCAGAATGTTAAAGCTCTCTCTGCTTCAGCATCCCAACGCACAGGGGGCTCTTAGGCTGTACCTGTTAGGTTAGACCCAACGGCAGCATATCACATACTTACATGCATGCACACATCTAAGTCTTTGTGGGAATATTTTTTTTTTTTCTGTTGCATTTGGAAATTTTTTTTCTTCCTGGTAATGCTATGAATGATTTTGTCTATCCATTGAGAAGTGCGTAGTCTTTTAGAGATAAAACCAGTAAGATGAAAAGTCTCAGCTGAAGGATATGGATAAAGCAATATTCATATTTATATATATATTATATAACTTAGGATACTCTTGGAGGGTAACAAGTAACCCAGGGGGAAACATGGGGTTTGGTTCTCTCTTAGTTGAATGAAATGTGTTCTTCTAGTTTAAGAAAAAGTTGTACTTATCTTTGTCTTCCTTTGCTAACGCACTCTGAAATCTCAGAAGAGTTCATGTGTAAACTACAGCATATTTGTGTTAGTGTTTTTATTATTAGTTTTTAATTCAGGTTTTACAGGAATTTTATGCAGCCCTCTCTGTTATGAGCATGGAAGAAAATCAAATATTGCCATAATGGAATCATGTCCCTCCTGCACCCTACACCCCTGCAGAATGTTCCCAAACCAAGGACCCAGCATTCACTTCCATCATTTTAGGGTGAAAAATAAAAGCAGACACACAGAGAAATTGTAGCTGTTCTCCTCTCCTGTTTCTCATGTCACTGACACATTGTTTGTGAAAACATGAGGAGGGAAATCATATGCAAAGAGTGTGGCCTGTGAACAGATCCCATCTGACATCAGCATCACACATGCTGTTCCCTGCAAGACAAATTCCTTGGAAAGCTGTGGCAAGGAGCTCAGTGGAGCAATGACTGAGCACAGGAACTCTCCCCTGTCTCCCTCTTGATCTTCATCCTTGGCAACTCCTTCTTGCTGCTGTGGTGGGGTTTCTATTAAATTGTAAGGTCAGTCTGGTTTCTTTGTTATGCATTTTTTCCTTCATCTCTTTGCAGTGACTTCAGGTTGCTTTGTTGTTTTTCTTCCTCATCTTTCAGTCTTCCTATTGATTATTGATACAGGGACAAAATAAATTAATTCCAAGCCAATTTGCATGGAGAAAAGCAGATAATTGTAATGTGAATAGCTCGAGAATAGATCTTTCTGCTTGTTGCCCAAGCAATATTCAGGCAGCCAGGCACATTCTCTGCAATAAAAACACAATCCAAAGTATAGCAGGATTTAATTGGAAAATCAGATGTTCTGTGATTCTTGATGGCTGATTTTCTGCCAATTATAAAGTAGGACGAGCTCCATTAGAATCACAACAATCCCTGACAAATTCTTCTTTACAGGTAATTCAATGGCTGAATGGTGGAACTGTGGCCACAAGTGGGCAAGGATCTCTTCTGAGCTGTTAGATTTATAAATGAATAATTTAGAGTTGCAATACCACTCAGTTTACATAAGGCTCCAGTTCTTCTGCTTCTCTACCTCCTGGCTTGAAGTAGGTGAAAAGAATAGAGCCCAAATGTGAGGCTCCTGCATGTCAGAACCAGAAGGAATTGGGAAATTATCAAGGTCAGCCAGAGGGAGAGGAAGAGCTGTGATTCATCTTTGGAGAAACCTACAGATGCTACTTAAGAAGGAAAAAATCAAGATAATATAATTTATATTTTCCATACTCACAGTTTTCCTCCTCAAATTTTAATTTGCATTCTCAATCCCTTTGCTGCTGCTCAGGCTTCTGAGCACTCTGCATGCTCTTTGGATCACTGGATTGTTGATCTGCTGAAAACTGAAAATAGTTTGTTCAATTTGCAGCAGCAGAGAATTTTTACAGATTTTTTTTCAAGTATTCAGAATGTTATGGGAAACAAAAAAAAAGAAAACAAATAATGGATAGGGTTTGGGGTTACTCTACATTTCTTTTTTTTTTTCCCCTCGTGATTATTGGGTCCACTGTCAGGGGCAAGAAGGGCTAGAAAACTGAATAAAGAGAAAAAGTAATCTTTGAAAAAGAAACTCATATTTTTCAGCTTCAAAAGACATTTAGAAAAATAAAAGAGAAGCTATTTTCTACAAACACTTTCCTTTGAAAAAGAAGTGAACAGTGGCCAACCCACTCTTCAATAGCAGGAATATTTTTTATAATAGGCTGGACACTGAAACCATGAAGTTCTTTAGATTTTAAGGCCTGTTCCTCTACTGATTTTTTTGAGTATCTGATGTGCTTTGCAGATTTTCCTTTTCATATGTACTGTGTTCTGTTCTGTGGGCTGGGATATTAATAGGATTTGATTTGAAGTACTTTTATGAATCATGTTGCAAGCTACATTTAGCTATTCCTAACTATTACAATACCTAAAGTTTTGAGGCAATCAAATGCCATAGTAATGGGGGCCAGGGGAAAGAATTAGGGCAGGAGATGAACAGATTTGAATCCCTAGGAAATCACTTCACAACACAGGTATTTGTTACTCATCTGTGTGTTTGTTCCAGCAGTCCCTATGTATAGTAAATGTACTTTTTACAAGAGCATGCAGTGATAGGATAAGGGAGAACGACTTTAAACTAAAAGAGAAGCGGTTTAAGTTTGATATTAGGAAGAAGTTATTTACTCAAATGGTGCTGAGGCCCTGGCACAGATTACCCAGTGAAGCTGTGGCTGCCCCATCCCTGGAAGTTTCCAAGGCCAGGTTGGACAGGGCTTGGAGCAATCTGGGACAGTGGAAGGTGTCCCTGCCCATGGCAGGGGGTGGAATGAGATGAACTTCAAGGTCCCAACCCAAACCATTCTGGGATTCTATTATTTACTTCATAGCAACATTTTCCAGGCTTCCTGAATGAATGATTCTTAGCGTGTGGAAAAATAAACCATTTATATTTATTAATGTGTTAATTTTTTTTTTTTTTTGTTATTATTGAAAAGGGCCCAAGGGAAGTGCAGTGAGGAAGATGTTGATAGACAGAGAAGATCACTGTAGATGTATGGCAGAACTTCTTATGGGAAAAGAAAAACTTGAGCTGCATGAGACAGCAAAGTGAGGCTTCTGAGCTTTGCCCTGCCCTGAGGAAATGGCTTTGTGTTTGTCCTCAGTCACTTTTCAGAGTGCTTTGTCACTATCCACTGAGTTGGATCCTGTTTGCTGTCTGCAAGATTTGTTTTAGGGATGCTGTGGAGCTGCGTATCAACACCCAGATGTGCTTTGGTCCTTCGGGGCTGCCCTGGGAGGCAGCTGAGCAGATGGGCTCCTCCCGGGTGTTCCTGTGGCAGGAGCTCCCCAGAGAGCAGCAGTGCAATTCCTGCCCTGCAGGACCAGAGCAGCAGTGCAGGTGCTGCCCTGCAGGACCAGAGCAGCAGTGCAATTCCTGCCCTGCAGGACCAGAGCAGCCGTGCAGGTGCTGCCCTGCAGGACCAGAGCAGCAGGACCTTCAGGAGAAGGAAGGGGGAGGACAGCATGGACAGCATGCCAGGAAGAGGCAGCCAGAAGTGGAGAAGAGAGCCCCTAAATGGAGAAACAGCAGCAGTCATCTGTGCCTAGGCCTTCAGCTATAATGATTTTGTCTACTCTGCTTCAGGCTGCAAAGCAGTTACATCTCAGGGTCTGAATGCTTTATTCTGAAAAATGGATCCACCTCTTAATAGTGGCTAACATCTGAGCAAGTGGGAATGGGAATGATGCCATAAATTTGCTCGATACCCAGTCCTTTTACTCATCAGTTGAAGTGACAAGCTATGGTGTCTCCTTTTGTGTTCCAGCCTCTTCATTTCTTCACCAGTGCCAACTGATACCTTTTTTCCCTCCTGTTATAAAAGCCTCTTTCCTCAGTAAACTCTTAATTTATTGATGAAAGCACAACAGTCTCAAGCTATGCCACACAGAACAGCTTCAGCCTCTTACAGCTGTGTAGCACCTCCAGGGTGGAGATGAATTCTGCTGGAGTTTTTCCAGGGCCTCCAGTCACTTCAGTGCTTTCAAGCTTTTTATTATGCTGCCTCCAGATATACTCTGGCCCTTGTATGTATTGATTGTTTTCCTTCTGAATCAGGTTGATAATAGCAAGCAGATTTTTGATTAATTATGTTTATATTCCTTTCTTCATCGAGTGTTTCCAATCACTGTCTAGTGATGGCACTGTTGATCATTATCACTGATCTGTCCTGGACTCCTGATTGATGTTTACTGATTCCCACATTTGTTTATCACTAGCTCATGACACTCCTCATTTTAAGAAGCATTCAGAAGTTCAGTAGGGCATCTTAATGCTCTGAAAAGAAACTGGAAATGCATGACTTGCTAAAAAAGATCAGTATAAGTTGCATACAACAGATTACTGAATATGTTATTTGCTTTCCAAATTTTGATGTGCTAAAATAAACCCCTATCATTTATACATGGTGACTTGTTTTTACTTGCTCTCAGCACCACACTTGGAATCATTTATGCTACTTCTGCTACTGTCATCTCACTGGTCCTCCTCAGCTTCTGGTGAAATGTTGCCCCCAAAACCACATGAGTGAATCCCCACAGATAATCAACCTTAAACCTGTCCTGAAGTTTTTATGATGGAAGAATGTTATGTATACAAGGAAAAAAAAAAAACAAACAAAACAAATAACCACTGCCAGAAACAGACCAATGTTGTCAACTTAGAAGCTGTTTTTTGAGCTCCTCTGAGATTTATGCAGCTTTTCTCTCTTTAACAATCAGGCTGGAGCTTCTCCTAAAACAGGTGGAATTGTGCACAACTTTGAGAAGCCAGGTGGTTACAAGCAGAAGAAAATTAGATCATTATTTGTAAAATGCTTTATAAAATCAGAATTATCAATCACTCTTATTGATTAACAGGTGATTTGCTACAAGCCATCAGCAGACCCCAAGCAGCCTCTGCAGGAGGGATTTTGATAACTCTGACCTTTGGATTTTTAGGATGCATTCTTCAAAAATCAGCATAGACTTAGAAAGGACAGGACCCACAGAGTGCAAGATAACATGCAATTATTGTTATATGTATTTTATTACAAAGAAATTCACTAAGGACCTTCATTCTCTTGTTACAACATTCTGTAAATGTCATATAAAAGCACTGCCCTCTACTGCTCAGGGGCTTTCATTAACAAATATTTAATTAGCAAAAAACCCAACACTTTTTTATAATGAGAACAATTGTATGGGCTTGCCTGTAAAAAAAAAAAAAAAAAAAAAAAAAAAAAAAGGACTCTGGACCTTTTTATTAAAAGCAAAATGCTCATTTATCATTTCTAAGAAACATGAACCACCTGTGATCTTATGTTTACACGGAGAACTAATAATTCAAGAGTTTAGAAGTAGCTTTATGCATCTTCTCAGGCAGTGGTAAAGGAAAACATATTTTCAAGTAATTGCACCTTTCGAAACTATCCTTAAAATCTTCCATTTTGTGGAATTGTGACCACAGGAAGGCAAAGGAACAGGAGGATTTCAAGTTGCGAAGATGCAAGTGGAGAAAAAGACTTGATTCCCAAAGTAAAGGCAATGCAATCTGTTCAAGCTGTCTGGAGAAAATTCTTGTTGCTATTTATCTGCTAATTTTACAGTACATTTTCTTAAGAAATGTAAGGTGCAAAACACATGTGAAAACAAGCTGATAAAGATGCAGAAATACTGTTTATAGAGTCACAGCAAACTAGGGATGTGACAGCCATTACATCATAGGAGTCAGGATGTCACACCTGGCACTAGACTAGGCTTTAACAAGATTTTCTGGAGGAAATTTGAGCTTAACTTTGCCTTGTGACTACTTTTTATAAAGATGAAGCTTGGACTCATTAGCCAATAGAGAACTTCAGCCCATCCCAACCAATTGGGGGCTACTAAGCATTATAAATGGCTTCTGAGGCAGGTGGGCTCACTTACTCCTTGGGAGTGTTTCTGCTTTGGGGGAGACCTCTGAGGAGAGAGGATTTTTGTGTGAAGCGTTGGTGTTGAGAGAGATTTAAATTATGGAAGCTTTCTGGGGTTTAGTTAATATGTTTCAGGTAAATTTGGGGTTTATTTTAAGGGATATTTTTATTGTGTTAATTGTCGGTATGAGTGTTAATGTTGTTGTGGCTTTGTATTCCTATGTAAGTAGTGGCTTTTGGTGGAATTTTGGTTTTTAGTGGTGTTATAGCTATTTAAAATTTTAATTTGGTTTGGGGACTCTAATTAGCAGAGTTAATGAATCTTCTGCAGAGTATGTGAATATGAAGGAAAACCATAATGGCCTTCTTAATAAGCAGAATATAAATATAGTTGTTCTCTTATGCTTGCACCTCTTATTAAAAAAAGTCTTTTGTGGAAGAAATAATTTTCTTTGTGAAGACAGAAAGCAAAACCTGTGAAGCTTGCTCTCAAGTGCTTTCTAGGTGGAGGAAGGCTAAGATAATCTGGCCATCATTTCTGTGAAACCCAAAATTTGTTGTAGGTTAAGAGTTACAGCTTTTGCTTTGTTAAGGCTCAAGATGAGAGCAGCATGGATTGTGGGGCTGTGCCTGATGAACAAGCTTCTGTCTTCTGGGAGCAAAATCTGCTGTGAAGGCAAACAATCTGTCTCTCCTCAGTCTGCTTAGCTTGCAGAATCTGCTGGGCTTCAGGGACTGATGGCCTCAAAGCCTCTATGGACTTCTCCTTATACCAGTGACATAGTTCTTGAGTAGCTTCTTTATTGCATTAAATAAAGCACAGTTTCTGAAAGAGACTTCTACAGCCTTTTCTTCCAGGCCTTGTTTCTGTCCCTGTCTTTATAGAAGGGAATTCTGGTTGCTAATCAACTTTCTTTTCCTTGCTGCATTTTATTATGAGAGGCATGTGGTTGAATAAGTTTGATTGTGCTTTTACAAATCGCACTAAATGTATAACACCTATGGAGGATAGCTATGGGTTTTGTGACTAAAATGACCTGTAAGCTTTTTTTCCTCGCTAAATGTGCTACAGCTTTAAATTTAGAGAAACAGTTCTTCAGAGATGCTAATGGCCCAAGTGTTTCTTATGCCTCTTCAGAGTCTGTGATGGTGTTTGCTGCAGAGCAACTGCTGCATCTGTGGTCTCCACTTATTTGTATTTTATTGTGCACTGCTGTAGTTATCTATCATTTTAATGTGCTGTACCAGCCTCAAAAAATGGTACTTTTTAAAAATGTGTATTTATATTTTTTCCCTTTGATTTAACATTTTCCTGTGTGACATTTTGGGGGCTGTATTCTAATAATGCTTAACCCTGATAACCAGTAAATAGGAAGTTACACTTCCTCGAGTTGAACTCGCTTATTGAGCTGGGGGGGGAGGTAATTTGGAGGGCCCTTAATTTTAAAATAGGGGGTTGATTGCACCTTTTACTTAGTCACATTTTGTAGAGACTTCTCTCCAAATGAATTAAATTGTTCCTGGTTCTCAGTTGTGTTGTTGCAGGGCATTTTGAAAGTGTCTATGCCAGCCATAGGGAAAATGTTGGAAGTAGTGGCTGAGTTGCAGTGCAGCTTAATTACCTAGGGAGGGACTGTTACCTTAAGCAGGGTGAGAATTTAGAGAATCAAGCACTTGGGAGCTTATTCACTTTTGCTCTTCCTCTTGCACAGACGTAGCACAGGCAGAATGTGACAAAAACTATAAAATCCTTGATTTAAGGGCACCACCTCATAGAAACTGTACCTAATTATTTTAGGCCATGGCTTGGAAAAGCTGTCTTTTATAGAGCTATTTCTAGATGATCACTGCTTAATAATCATGACGATAAAAACATGAGAAATGTGATGTTTTGTGCGGTGTGTGGCTGTAAATGGGAGTTGGAGACGTTATTTGTTTGGGTGTGGCTGCTCTGTTTTGTTATGACACGCCTGGCTTAGGGAATAAAAAGCAGAGCCTTTTTCATGCTAGTTTAAAGGCGTACAAAATGGCTGGGGATTTATCTGCAGATCAGATGCCAAAGGCTGGCTGGGAGGCAGCACAGGTTTTGCCCTCCCCTCTCTGTTCCATCTTTCCTGTGAATTGGCAGAGGGCCTTGGAAAGCACTGGACTCTTCCCGTGGGACACCAGCGCAGGCTCAGCGAAAGTTCAACAGCAAAGCACAGAAACGCAATCTGTGTCTGGGCTTCTGAACCAAGCTGGGCTTTGTTGGGAGCAGGAGCTTTCTGGAATGTGCACGGGGATGAGGAATAATGCAGCAGGGTGAGCGCTGCCCGGGGCTGGGAGCGCAGCTGAGCGCTCTGGGCTCTCCTCCTCTCTTGCAGAGCGCGGCCATGGGGGACGCGGCACCAGCCCAGCCGCCCGAGCCCAGGGCTGCTCGCCGCCACCTCTTCGAGGCCAGCATGAGGAGCATGGCCAGGAGGCTCAGAACTTTCCAGCAGTGGCCCCGCACTGCCCCTGTGTCCGCCCGAGACCTGGTGGAGGCTGGATTTTTCTACCTGGGCCCCGAAGATGAAGTGCAGTGTTTCTGCTGTGGTGGTATCCTGAAGGACTGGAGACCTGGTGATTGCCCCATGATAGAGCACCTGCGTTTCTTCCCTTCCTGTAAATACCTCTCTGGTGAGGATGTTGGGAACCAGGAGATGCTGTCCCTGCAGGAGATCTTTGACACTGTGGATGGGCAGTTCCTGAGTGTCTTGCAGGGGATAGTCAGTGAGGAGACAGCCCAGCCCAACGAGCCAGAGTACCCCGAGATGGTGACAGAGGAGATGAGGCTGTCTACGTTTGAGAACTGGCCACAAAATTCCAGCATGCATCCAGAACAACTGGCTAGAGCAGGGTTCTTTTACACAGGTAGGTACTCTGGGGAAATGTCCTTAACTCTTATTCAAGTTAACTTTTGAAAGTTTCGCTGTTTATTGCTCTTACAAATACCTGTGTGTATGTGTATTGTGGTTAAAAACCATGTCGTTCCTTCTGTCTGTGCTGTTTCTCTTGCTGCTTGTGCAGAATTTGTTTCAACATTTAACTCCTCTTTGGGTACTAAGGGGTCCATGAGTAAACACCTCCTTGCCAGCAGGAGAGGAAAAGGTGATGTGTTTTAAACAGATGTTTTACAGACAGAAAAGTCTGTGCTTTAAGATCCATTGGGTGTATTTATTCCTTGCACTTCTAAAAGGACTTGAGGAGCTTGCTTGGTGTGTCATGTTGCACATAGGCTGTGTCTTGCACTGAAGCCTTTCCTTCTCAAAACCCCAAACCTGAGTGACAGCTGTATGGCACCAGCCCCTCTGGCTGTTGCTGTGGCTTGTTTCTCTAGGGACTCTTTGTTTGAAATACAGAAATCAGAGACCTTTTTTTGTTGCAGAAAATTGGCAATATTTCTTGTAATCACATGCATGTGAATATCAATAAAATGCTGTTCTTTCCCTTTGAAAATGCTTTGCTGGTTAGGTAACAGGTTTGAAGAAATAGTCCTCTGAATTGACCAGCCAGGGGAAATATTTGCACTATGGCAGATTGTGGTTAGTGAGCACAGTGTGTTCATAGGTGTAACTAATTACAGCTCTGCTGCAGAGGCAGGCAGGGGGATTGGCTGGGGGGGTTGTGCATGGCAGCTCAGCTGCTGCCATGGATGCTGCCTGTTAGCTTGTGATCCCCTTCTGGAATCCTCTCAGCCAGCTCTGGGAGCTCAGACTGAGTTCCTGCCCCTCTACAATGTGCACTGTTAGTAAATTGTCATGTGTTCATCTCTCCTGTCCAAAGCCTGTGTTTTGTGCCGAGTCTCACCCAGGGTTCGTGTAGGGCATATAGTGTCTCAGGTGTCAAACAATCTCTTGATCTCCCTTTCAGGACGAGGAGATGTAGTGAGGTGTTTTTACTGTGATGGAGGCGTGAGGAGCTGGTCCTTTGGAGATGATCCTTGGAGGGAACATGCCAAATGGTACCCAGAGTAAGTCAGTCTTGCTTAACAAATACCCCAAAAGATAGGTCATGCATTTCACACTGATACTTTTCTTTCATATGATAGCAATATTTATATCCTCTCACCTTAAAAGCAAAATAAAATGTAAAAGCTTAGGTGGAATGGCACAGTTCAGACCTGAGATTCTCTAATTTCACCTGGAGTTCACCATCTAAGAGTTCAATAAATAACTTTATTTGGCAACAAAGAGCTTTCATTTCTTTTTGTACCTCAGAGTAGGAGTAATGTATTGTAACGTGGTGGTGTGTTTTTTCCTTAAATTGATGTTCGTTCAATGTTTGTTTATTTCCCTCCTCCCTAATCTCCTCCCCTCCCCAGCTGTCAATCTTCCCAAGCTCTTCCCTCTCCAAGTTGTCAATCCTTCCTTTCCCTGCCTCTTTCCCTAGAACATTCTCTGTCACTCCTTCTAGTCACCTCCCCTCCTTCGAGAGTGTTCCCTGTCCATTTAGTTACACTTGACACCCTATTTGTTACTTTGTCTTATTCCACTCCCCTATTTCCCAATAGCTTTATGATCTGTTAGTCCTGCCTTAGACCCCTCCCCAATTCTACCCTCATTGGTTATTGTTCCTACACCCCTCCTCCTGTGTTTCTCTATAAAACCTTCTGTTTGCCCTCCCAAGTTGGTCTTGGGTTCCATTTTCTCCAATTGGCAAACCTGTTTTGGGACACCCAAGCCCCGTGTCACCTCCACCTGTCCCCGTGCTGGACCATCAGGTAACTGGGATTGCAGAGCTCACCTGGGGACACTCATTCCTCCCTTCCCTCGCTGCCCAGCACACAACCCTCGGAGCGTGGTGAGACAAACATTGTAAGCCTTGGGGTTCTGCAGCAGTTCTTGTTTCTTTCTGTGAACTGCTCTCCCATCACTGTCCTGTGGTCTTTGCTAAAGCATATTCCAACCAAGCTCATCTTGGGCCAAAATGAAGACTGAGTTAAGAGGGAGGGATCATGATCCTATTGCTGTCAGCCTTTGTGCAAGAGGTGGGCAGGTGAAACACCTGATTACCCTGTCTTTAATGGCTATATAGAGGTTTGCTCATTGCCCATAACACTCTTTGCTTCTAAATTTCAAACTGCTACTTTCACTTGGGAGATGTTGTACTAATGTATTTCAACTTTTCTGCTCATAGGTGTGAATTTTTGCTGCACTCAAGGGGGAGAGAATTTGTTAACAGCGTTCAGGCGACATTTTCTGGCACCCTGCTGGCTCCAGTGAGTCGTGAACACTGTGTGTAGTGGGTTAGGTTTGGTAGATGGGAAAGTTTTGAACACGTGCTTCTCTTTTTGTATCATTTTCAGAGACATTCCTGGGATCAGACTGAGCAAGACTCCTCTTCCTCCCAAGGTCAGTGCTGTAATTCCATGGTGTTTTATCTTCTGGTGAACATGGTCTAGTCTGAGTTCCACCAACCCACCTCAGCTGCTCTGCTCTCTGTAGACGCAGTGCTTCTGAGATGTTTTGATATTCTAGAAGTTGTTTTGCTTTGGTTTTAGGCAATGGTCTCTAGTTCAAGAAACAAAATTACTTGTTATTTTGAGACCTCTTAGTCTAAAGCCAGAGACATGTAGCTAGTTTGGATAATCATGTGAGTTTTGGGTGCTTACCTAACTCACCTTTTGATGTTCTTGCTGTTGATGTCTGTCTGTAAAGCCCTTCACTGCAACATTTAAACATGCTTGATAAGAAACCAGAGAACAGTAGAGGGTCTAGATGTTCATGAAAATGTTGTTCCTGGGATTTATTCCCATTTATCAGTTGTTCCCAGAAATGTAAATTAGGTGAAGTTTGGCTCCCATAAGCTTAAGCAAGACTTGAGCCTTTGAAGTGACTGCCAGCTGAATTTCCTACTTCTGTTGTTACTGTTGAATGGTTGAGGTAGGCTTCAATTGGGATGTTCTACTTGATGCTCATGAAAGCAGTTCTGAGGCTTCTGTTCTGGGATGTGAAAACAGAGATAAGGATTATGGAGTGATGCTGAACACAGGAAACTGTTCACTGATAAAGTAAAATAAACCATCCAAAATAAGTATCTTTTGTGAAATTAGCTTTGATTAATTTCCTTGTGAATTATGATTTGAGTTAAAAAATAAATGTGGAAGTTAATCTAGCTAAATGGATAGCTTGAGGAGTGTTCTAGGATATATTAATGCCATATTATGTAGAACACCTTCAAGGAATGGCACACGTTTTGCCCAAAGCTCTGCCTTTTTGATAAAGTACCTGTTCACTGCTTTACAGATCCCCTGAGGAACTGGAAATTGTTGGCTCATCCTTCTGAGGATCAGAGTTTCATAGTGCAGAATGTCCTGCAGATGGGCTTTGACCCCACCTGGGTGGCCAACCTGGTAGAGAATAAATTTGTGCTGACTGGGACTTTCTACCTGTCTGAGTCTGAGCTGATTTCAGACCTGCTGCAGTCAGGCTGGGGGGCCAGCAGCAGTGCAGGAGGAAGGAGAGGTAGGCCTGACTCACAGCTGGGCTTAGGGGGTGTTTCACCTCTTCTCACTGCACCTGGAGCACTGCTGGGTGCTGAGGGTCTGCCTTCACTCTGCCCAGGCTGGATTGAGGGGTAATGCCTCAAGCCTGCCTTTCCTCGGGAGCCTGAGCAATGAGGGTCTGAGTTAAAGAAACCTGGAGAAGCTGTGGTTGCTGTATCTGCCTGCACTGGGCTGTGGTGGGGATATCCTTGGTGTTTCCTGCTGCCCTCAGACCTGCAGGAACTGCACTCCATGATGTGCAGGCTCGTGCGCAAATTCACAGCTGATCCAGGCAGAGGCAGTTGCCTGAAGCAAAGCTCCTAGGATGGATGATCACTCCAAGCCTGTTTAAAATTAGAATCAATAACCTGTTTAGAAATAGCTGTAGTTCTTGTCTGGGTAATATATATTTTCTTTAACTTCTGTCTTGTGTTATCTGTTTGCCAAGTGAAGCTTACTTGACGATGCAGTTCCAAAGCTCCTGCCTCCACAGCATGGTCTGCCATTTCTGTAGCTAACATGGAAAAAATTCCACAAAACTGAAATTTTGATTAAATAGTAGCAAAGGAGCTGGAATGACCAGCTGATGTGGTAGATGAACACCTTTGAGGAGAGAACGTGATGTGGATAGACAGACCTTGGCAAAGAGGTTCTTGTGAAGCACCACAAGAACATCAGCCATGCCAGGCTGAGATAAGAAATTTTTAACCAAATGCTTCTGAGGCCCAGGTTATTTTTTCTTTTCACACAGCACTGTCAGGAGAAGGATAAAGGAGGTAGCATTGAATACCATCTTCTTTTCTGGTTGTACAGGTGCTGTTCAGAGAGAGACTGGAACATCAAGACAAGAAATGCGATCTGTGCGGCAGAAGGAATCAGGTGCTCTGGGCTGGCAGTGTGGGGAATTGAGCTAAAGCATTATTGGGAGGAGTTCTAGAATAACAGTATCAGTAGTCATTATACTAACTCATTTTTTTCAATTTTGAAGGGGACTGTGTGCTAGTTTGAGTGGCACTTGAGCACAGGAACCCTTATTCAGGGATTGGAGTGCCCCTGCGGAGCAGCTGTTACAAAAAAATCCAGTTTATGGGGATAATTAACAGAGTAAATGCTGTTGATCTGTGTCCCTGCTCAGTCCAGTGAGTGTAAATAAGCTGAACCTTGTGTAGATAAGCCAGTCTACAGCAGCTGTAATTTTTCTGCTTAAATGAAGCTTGCTTGAAGAGGTATTTCTGCCATCTTCACAGTCTCTGAACAAAACAATGGGCAAGTTGCTGTGTGACTTCCTAAGCTGTCACAACTGGCACTTTGGAGCTGTGACAAAACACTAACAGTTTGTTTTGTTTTTTTTTCCCACTTTTTTTGGTAAAGATGAGTCTCAGCTGAGCACAGAAGAGCAGCTCCGACGCCTGCAAGAGGAGAGGACATGCAAAGTGTGCATGGACAAAGATGTGTCTGTTGTGTTTGTCCCCTGTGGCCACCTGGTAGCTTGTGAAGAATGTGCCCTCAATTTGAGGCTGTGTCCCATCTGCAGGGCTGGCATCCAGGGCCGTGTGAGAGCCTTCATGTCCTGAGCCGTGGTGCACCCAAGGGGAAGAGAAGTCCATAAAACTCACAACTCAGCAGAGGGAGAAAATAAGTCAATAGTTTGCTGGCGCAATCTTATTTGCAGGGTAGCTTGGCATAAGGGTAAAAACTCACTAAATGTGGCTCCTGTGCACAGTGTTTCTAGGAAGAACTGCTGGTTTTATTTACTCTTGCTTTAGGACTGCTCCAGGAAAACTCTGCTGGGTTCTTTTGTCCTCCAAAATGAGGTTTTTATTGTCAAGAGATTCTCCTTCTCCACATTTTTGTGTTCTCAAGTGAATCTTTGCCCTGTGCTGAAATCAAAGACTGTTTTCAGCAGACTCTCTGGTTCTTTCTCACTCACTTAACAGTTGTCTAGAGATTGTTCTTTTAGTGATTCCTTCAGGAAGTTTGATTGAAAACTGGAGTATTTTTTGTACAAAATGCATTCCATTGGGACTAGAATACTCAGCAACAATGTGTTGTTGGGGAGGGAGAATCTACCTTTTTCTCCCCTTTTTGCTGTCTTTTTTTTCTCCTCTTTTTGTTCAATTTTCAACAATTGATGAAACATTTCAGTTATACTCAAATTTGCATAACTAAGTGGAAAAGGTCTGGCCTAACTCTCCAAACTCTCTGCCCTCAGCTGACCTCCCCTGGTGGAAGGCTCTGTGCTCAGGGTCACTGAGTGGTCTCCTGGAAGCTTCTTATGGAGCTCTTCCCTGGCTGTTGAGTGTTATCCTGGTGGAAAACTGCTCTGGAAACATACCTTACTAGAACATCTCTTTGCTGGCTAAATTGGTGATTCTTATTAGAATTTGGAATAGTCTATCATGTAGCCAAAGAGATTAAGTTTCATCCACACTATGCCTTGTTAAGTGAAGGAAAAGGAAGTACATTTTTAAAATTAAACTGTTCTTTTTAATGGAATAAAATATTTCCTTTATTTAACTTGGAGGTCTGAATATCTGATTCTAGTACAATTCCCTACTGGGGGAATGGTGTGGTGGTGTCCTAAGATGTTGGAGTGACATCAGGCTGTAAATCACCTCTGTCCTTCAGTGCTACGTGGGCATAACTAAGACAAGCAGATGTTCTTGCCATCCATTAGTGTCCTTTGGAATTTTACAGCCAACACATGGATCATAGAGCCTTAGAATGGTTTGGTTGGAAGGGACCTTAAAGCTCATCTCATTCCAACCACCTGCCATGGGCAGGGACACCTTGGATGGATGGGGCAGCCACAGCTTCCCTGTGCTACGGCCCCACCACCCCCACAGGGAAGAATTTTTCTCCTCAAAATTCTTTGAAACTGCAAAAGAAGGGATAAGGATGAAGGAGAATAAGGCTCTGATACATGAAACTCTGCAAATGCAGAATAATTCTGATCGGAAGTCTTTGCAGAGTTTTGGTAGGTGGCGCTTTTTTTGCAGTTCTGGAAGTGCTTCTCTGGTTCCAGCTCTGGTTACTAAACAGCTTGGGGGCTTGCCTGTGAGTCACTTGAAGGTGTCAGTTATCTGTGGATCCCATGGGAGGGCAGCTCTCTTCATCCCTGACTTCAGAAGAAAGGAATATTAGCAGAGTAATTGGCAAAGATGACATAAATTACAACTTGAGTGCTGGTTTAAACTCCACAGCTCTTGGAGGAATTGGTTGTGTCTCTGCCAGACAACAGCTTTCCCAGGGAACAGAATGTCACCACCATGCCAAATGAGGGCTTGTCTGGATTCAAGGTATCATTGGCTTTGCTTTGCCTCTATAAATACAGCAGAAACTCATAGTTTAAATAGATATGGTAATCTGAGAAGATAAAACACCAGCTCAGTGCTGCAACACTTATTTCCTCCAAATTCACCTGAGTGTGACTGGAACCTAAGCGAGGCTGGAGCTGCACCAACTATTTCTGGGGCTAACCCTACTCAGCAGTGTGGGAATGGTGAATGGCTTTTCCACCCCAGGGAAAGGGAGCAGCTGGTTTATCTCCTGCGGGGAAATGGCCCTTCAGAACCAGGTGCCACGTTGTTTTTGGAGAAGCATCTCCAGCGATGTCTGTCCCCAACAGAGGGCACTCCGAAACTGGAGATAAGGGAAGCCACCGCCTCCAGCTGCTCCTGGATAATGCTGGGGATGGGCTGGGGTGGGATGGGCTGGCAGTCCCTGCTCTCGCAGGGCACGGGCACTGTCACCTTGAGGGACTCAGAGTGGGTCTAGCACAAGCAGACCACGGGAGGAGTTCTTAAGGCATGAGGAGGAATGACTCTACTAATAAAACCTGGAGGAGATAAAGTGTGGAATATGACCCTTGGTAGCTTTGTTTATTCTCAGACTGATTTTTTTTTTTCCTTATGATGAATGGCAGTCACTGATACTGCATTGTTATAGGCTTACCTGAAGATGGGCTTGGTGTTTACTTCTGGTTAATTGGTGGTTTATGCTACAATGAACACAGGCAATTGAGGGGTAGTTCTGAAGTGATTCAGTCATCACATTTTTATTTCATTCATCTTTACTAGTGTCTATGAAAGCCAAGAGACAATGCTGTTAAATGCAGAGTTTGATGCTTCATCTCTTTAGAGTGCTTGGTAATGAGTTTTGATCAGTTTAATTGGTGAAAGTGGCATCAAGGCTTGGTCAGCTGGAGAGGTGTAGTGTTAAAAACATATAGATCTCAATTCCAGAAATTCCCTCCTTTACCTTCTAGAGGAATTGCTGCCTGAAATTACCAGTAAAATGTTCCAGGTATTCAGAGCTGAAACTGTGCTTTTTCCACCATCTATGCTGATTTTTGATTGCTCCCAAACAAGGCTGACAAAGACTGCTGGTATCTGATTGATAATACTCTCTCTGAGGAAAAGAAACCATATTAAACCTAAAATGTGTGAAGTCAGTGCTTAATGAGAAAAGGAAAGATTAATTTGCAAAGCCCCAAACAAATGCAAACTTTCCTGGGAAAATCTCATTGAACAGAGGTTGTGTATTCTTTGTCTCTTTTTGTTTTTCTGCCTCTCCAGGGACCATCAGGTTGGCAGACAGGAATGTGTGATCCATAAAGAAAGTGAATAAAGGAGAAGTGGAGAAAGAATTCTAAGTGTGTGCACACTGCTGTGTATGATCTCAAAATGGAGAGCAGCTTGTGTTTCACTGCTATTTTTAACTCAGTAGTGACACAATATCACTAATAAGGGAGGTACTTATTACTCTTACTTATTACTCTTTTGTCATGCAGAGCTGTCAGGGTTGACCTTTTTTCTTTAAGGTATTAAACTAGGATGAAACTAGTTGTCTGTTTTGCACAGTGAGAAGCTGTGGATTTTGGTGCCTAAAATAAGGGAAAAAACACCCTACAAAAAACAACATTTTTACTTGCAGCTGCACCCAAGCAGAACTCAGGATGTTTGGCTATCTGAAACAGAAGCAAAAAATACTTTCTCAGTGCATGTACATTTGGGTTTATAAGAGTGGATTTTGCTTCCTGGGCCCTGTGGAATGAGACAAAAAAAAAAAAAAAAAAAGCTGCATCATTCTGTCTTTGATTTAGCACTTAATGTTTTTATTTTTTATTTAATTTTTCCCTCACACTTCTCCCTAGCATAGCTTCAAGCTTGACCCTTCTGAAAAGCATTTCTCAAAAAATGCCAAGTAATCCCAAACAAATTAGGCAAGACAATAATGAATTACAACAGCACTTGAAGTACCAGCCCAAAAATACCAGGTCTGGCTGACAACTGCTCCTCCTCTGCTTTTGACACGTAACATGCTGGGAGACACAGCTAACAAAGCTGACTTGGCTTTCTTGGTTTGTTCTTCTTTTTAATCAACTGCTGCAGCTCATTAATGCAACTTAATTACACTTGCATTTCCCCTTCAGCCCTTTCCCTCCCCACAAAAAGCTTGTCACAAATGAGACTCTTCCAGCAGGCTGTTTCCATGGAATAGGCATGGCTGTAGGTGATGAAGGCACCTCTGATCCATGAGGAACTGGGGCTTTTCCAGGGCCTGCAGCAGGATTCAGCTACACCAGGGTTAATTCAACGTAGCTGGGCAGTCCCAGGGTAAGCTACAGCTGCTCCAAGCATGGCTGGGCTGGTTGGAACGGGGTGAAGCTGAGTGAAGAGCTGATGGCTGCCGTAGTTTCCAGCTGTTCAGCGTTACAGGAGTCAGGCCACAGCACCCTGAGCTCCAGGACAAAGCTGCTGCCATGTCTACAGAGAACGAGCAAGGGCTCCTGGCTGGGTGGGGACAAAGGAGGGAGAAGTTCTCATCTCTAACTTGGAACCCGACAATGCCTAAGTAACTCGGGTGTAAAGAGCCCCCACCTCATTTTACACAGGCAGGGAGGATGTGAAGTCGTGTTAGGGGATTTAGGCTCTGTTCAGAAAAAGGAGAGGACGCTAACTACAGAAGGTATGAAATGTCCCAGGGTGTTGGGCAGTGCTTCCTTCTTCTGGATCCGTGGCACAAGGAAGCAGCTCCGACTTCAACTGCAGCTCTTGAGAGGCTCTTGGTGAACTTGCTCTGCCAGAGGTCTTTAGGCCTGTGCCACTTCTGGGCCAGTACCAGCAGACTGTGGTAGGAAAGGTTCATCAGGGCACTTGGAGGATTAAAAACCAACCATGTGGCCGTTCTTTGATGTACATTCATTGCGTTTGAAAAGGAGACAAGGAACAAAAAAACGGAGTGGAGTTCACCATCCTGCATTTCCTCTGCCAAAGATCCAGGCCCCAGGGGACTGTTTCCTGCAGCACCTTTGGTGGAGTGCAAGGTTTATCCATCCTCTGGCTCCTCTTCACTTACGCAGGCCTGGAAAAGGGGGAAAAAAGGTGAAGGCAGGCTGTGAGTGTGGAGCAAGTACCCAACTGCTTTCTTTATGTGGCAGAAATGGTGTGGAAATAATGAGGACAATTTTTTCTTTCCTCTTCTGGACTTTTAAATATTATTTACTACAGATGAGGAATAGGATTGAGAGCTCAGAAGTAATGTGGTTAAGTAGTCTTCAAGCCTGGAAAGAATGCAATGCATATGTCAGACCTGAATATGCTGCAGTTAGGCTCAAGTGTTAGATCTATGGATCCTCAGCGTTTGGAGCTGCATAAACTTTGGTTAGAAACTTAAAAAGCTAAGGGTCATCTCTAGGATAAAGGAGCTGCTTGAAATTGCAGTCAAGTGCTTTTTGTGTAGGTGCAGCAGGATAAGCAGATCTACTTTTGGAGCCAGCAGTAAAGGTGAGTGAATGCTTTTGGCTGGAACATCACCTCTTACACATGCAGCTTCAGGATGATCAAAAGAGTTTGCAAATTCATGTTGTTTGTTTGGGGAAAAGTCTACCTAGAAAGAGAAGCAGAAGTGTTTTGTGGTTTTTTCTCTCCTCAGAACAAAGTGGGATTTTTTTTTCCTGTTTAAGTTTCCTTTGTAAATTATTCTGCTTATCAAAGTTTGGAGAAGATAGCTGGAAATGAAATTCTAAAGGAGTTTTCCTTCCCCTCCTTCTTATTCCCATGTTTCAGTCTTGGACTCTGACTTTTTGACTTAATGTTACTTGTGTGCTTGTACATATTGATGTATTGAAGAACCCACTTTAAGCCAGTAGGGGATGATGGTTGTATGGGGACAAATCCTTTAATGCTCACAGCAGCTTCGTGCCTGTGGCCAGCAGACTGTGGCCCATCAGGGACCATTAAGGTGAGCAGTTGCCAACAGGAGCCTCAGATCCCTCAATTAACCAATGCCTCCTGTTGCTGCCCTGTCAATACTGAGGTCTCCATCTGATAAAAGTCACACCCTGTGTTAACACAGGGCCCTTTCCATTGGTAGATCTGAGGAAAGTCCATAAAATCTGGCTACACAACTCTAATTAAAGCTCTGAAGCCCCTAAAGTGATGCAGTACTTGAGGTGCCAGATCAGCTTTAGGGGTGAACTCAAATTGTGAGGTGCAGATCCCTGCTCAGCCTTACAAACACAATCTTAAAAGGCAGGAAGATCTAGTGCTTGTCCCTGTACCTTTTAAATAAACAGAGATCACCTCCCGTCATCCAGCAGGTTCTTGATTTAGCACTACCCTGTGTAGAAAATCATGCTTTGAGGCTATTCTGCTTTATAATTGAGACTGCACAGTGCTGCCTTCCAAAACAAATTTGGAGAGTGATGTCAGGAAACTGAAAGGATTCAGCAGGCAGGGGATGCTGACAAATGCTCAGGATGCTCTGGGTACTTGGCAGGTAGTGCAGGGGCTTGGAGAGAACAGCTTGAGTGAGAAATGTCAAAGCTGGCTTGGCCAGGACTTCCAGTTATTGGTGCAAAAATGCTTTTTTGCCTCAAGTGATAAGAATTCTGTTACTACAAATGAACAAACAAGAAGAAAAGCAACCCAGGGCTGTGCAGCACAAGGGGAGACAGCAGGCACAGCCTGAACTTGTGCTTCAGTTGAGGGAAGAATTCAACCCTTTCTTCCTAAAAACTCACCAGAAATACTCTCTTTTAACCTCAGGTGAGCAACTTTGTCTTTCCAGAAGTGATTTACTATCCTTTGGATAAGTATTTTGACACAGAAGCTCAGGCACTGAAGACTTTAAAATGTCTTCTATCAAGAGTGCTAATATATTATTATTAATAAATAATTAGTGTGGTGCCTTGATTGGCAATCAGCACTGAGTTAAGGGCAATTCTTTTGTGCAGTAAAACCACCAGAACAATTTTTTTCATGATAGTTTGAGCCTCTTTTACTTAAGGTTGTGACTTCAAACAGTAACTATCACAACCAAAGTTCCCCAGAGTCAATGAAATGTGGAACAAAAGCAGTTGTGGAACTTGAAACAGAAATAATAACTTTATTTTTAGAATACCATTGTTGCTGTGTGAGTGTCCAAGGTGTGAACTGAGATGAGCACTCTTAAATCTTGTCTTTGTAAACAACAGCACAAAATGATGGTTGATTGTTGTCGGTGTCTTTTTTTTAAAGAGAAAAGTAACACCTGACTTGAAAAATTTCTGAGGTTTTCCACTGATTGGAGGCTGAAAGCTGAGGTCAGGGAGATCATTATGATAAAACTTGGACATAACTGGATTATGGTGTGGAAGTACCTATTATCAGAAACAGTTTGGGGAGGTGTGTTTTCCTCCTGGCAGGAGGCAAAGGTATTTCAGAACTTCTTTCAGTGCTGTGGCTGGAAGCTGAAGGCCAGAACTGGGGTGCACAGTTTGAATACTGAATTCAGCAGCTCATGTCATTGTTCTGTGGGGTCTCAGATCTCTGAAAACTCATACTCAGATCTCTAAAAACTCATAAATTCAGAGATATGAAAAAGAGAGATTTGAAAAAAATGCAGGAAAGGGCACAATGGGAGGAAAGAATGTGGTATCATCACAAAAGGATAGGTAAAATGGGAATCAATAGGAACATTCCATTAGGGAATGAAGGAAAGTGATCCTATTAGAGTAAGTGTGGTAGCCCAGAAAATGCATCTGACTGCAGCCAAGGGGTTGATGCCATCCTAAAATGAAGGTTCCTGCTTGCAGTCAGCTCCAAGTGATCAGTTGTTGAATAAATTTGGTTTCATTCAGCATTTCTGTCAACAAAAAGGAGTTCAAACCAGAAACCCCATGGTCCTTAGCTCTTCTTAAACTTAAATTTCAAATAGGTTGGATGTATTTGTTGTTTTGCATCTTTTTGAAGAGGATATATATATATATATATATATATATATATATATATATATATATAAAATACCTGCCTTCAAGTCATCAGTAAATGATTTTTGCAGCTGGACAAGGGTATCTGGCAGTCAGTGCCCCAGCCTGCAACACTCCATGGCACCATAACCTGGGAATGAATTATCCCTTCCTTCCCTCACTCCCATTCACACACATGGAAGAGAGGCAATAGGATGAAATAAATAAACAAAAATTGCTATTTGGTGGCTGCTGAAATTTATACAGCGTCACATTATCTCCAGCTCAGCAGCTGTTTTCGCCTTCTGTTAGCCTCAAAGAAATATTATTTTGTGCTGGCAGAAAATATCAACAGAGAAGTGATGGGCTAAAGAATGGGAGGGAAGAACAACAAAATTCTCTGTGGACTTAAGCAGCAGCTTCCCCTCTTACTGAGGCCCTGGAAGAAAGTTTTACATTGCTAACTTCTCTTTATATTACGATCTCCCCATATGGGAATCTTCATTTAGAAGTGACAGCTTCTTCCACAGAAAGCAGAATTGGTCATTTTAAAAATGACCAATTTAAAAAAAGCAGCCCAAACCCTGTACTGTAAAAATGTGATGCTTTTTCAGCATGCTGCTGCATCCAGCTAGTAAATCAGGGAGCTGCTTAAAGCTGCAAAGCTTCTGCAGACTATGAAAAATTCCACCCCACTGTGACAAAATGAGAGAGAAATCAATATTTAATCTCCTGTAGCATCCCTTGTAATAACACTAGAGAACCCCCAAAGTTACAGGGAATTCAATGGCTTTGCAGAAATTACTTGTGCTGAAGTGACAAAGTGGGCAGCAAGTCCTTATGAAACTAGAGGGGCACATCTACCACTCTACCTCAAGGAAGTTTTTCTTTCTCAGCCCCACTATTTTCCACCACACTCATATTCTTCTTTTTGGCAGGATTCTGGTAATATTGTTCCTGAAAAACAGCCTTGCTCAGCAGCTGCTGTATACAACTTCCATGTGTTGAACTGCCTCTTGCATATCCATTTAAAGAATATAAAATCAGATCTCGTTGCTGCTTTAAACAGACAGAACTGGTCTTTGTGTTTGAGGATCTCATTAAGAACCAGCTTTTAAATGGACAGAGTGAAATTGTGATCTTGTGCCTCAGGGAGCAGAAATGGGAATTCAACAGTGGCCCTTCATTATTGGTATGAGAGAAGCTGCTATGGACAACACCCCTTTCTGCTCTCAGCTGAACTCTTGGGCTGCCCCACACGTGGAAGGTTCTGTTCTTTGAGGCAACAGAATTTAAAATTATTTTGGAGCTGAGAAAGGGCAGCTTTACACCTTCTGGTGCCCATTTGTTCATTCCTTCCATGCCTGAAAACCCTGTTGGAGAAATTAACCTACAAGGATGAAAAAGCCCAAACCTGTGGTACCCTTGAGCCATGAAACCAAGGAGCACGTGGAGTGTCTTAGCACAGATGATACTTACAGGTATGTCTGCTTGAACAAAAGGTTGGTGGGTTTTTCATTGACATGGTAGAGAGGAAATGGATCAAATCCACCAATGAAATCAACTGAAAAAAAATTAAAACTCAAATAAACAAACAAACATGGCCAGAAAGTTGAAGGGAAATGAAAGGAAGGCTTGATGAATGTCATGGCATAAACACAAAAATTAGTGACAGAACAGAAAAGTGATTTTTTCAGGTATGGATTTCTGGAAGCTCCTGGGATGTGCAAGCATGCCAAAGAGGAGATTTGAGCAAACACAAAACTTAAAGCAGAGCTAACAAAGACCCTAGAAAAGCCTTGGGTATTGCCACCACGCTGTGACTGCACGTGAGAGGAGCAGACAAAGGCAGAGCTGAGGGGAGGAAGCTGGAGAACAGCTCTGGAGCGAGTGCCAGGGACAGGCTGGCAGCACAGCCCTCCCTGTGAAGGTTACACAGCAAAGTGGGAACTTTCTTGCCCCACTTGTCTTTCCTGCAAGACAACAGAGCAGCTTTGGAAAACTGCAACCAGCTCATTATCTCCAGCTCTGGTATTTTTTGCATCCCCTCTGCCAAGTGAATTTCTTTGAATTGTGCACAGCCAGGAACAATGCTTCCCTTCTCCAGGGCTCACGGAAGGGCAGCATAGCTCAGCGGGGAGAGCTCTGAGTGACAATTCCCTTAGAAACCAGGGAAGAATTTTCCAAGGCTGTCTCAGTTCCCTGGATTTCAGGCCAAGGCTGCAGCACAGAGCTGGCCAGGGCAGGAGGGTGTGAGGTGCTGTGATTTGTCACTGACCTCGCAGGCCTTGTAAAACCCTTTAAAACTGACCCAGTTTGGATCATTTTTTGATGCCAAGTTAGTACATTTTGTATGGAAGTGTGAAAACCATCCTGTCCAAGTGCCATTTAAAAATAACTGGTGAGTTTTATTAACTATTTAAGTGCCTGTTAACTTTCCTTTCCTGAAGGTGGCACTATTATTTTAAATTTAAGCTGAAGATATTTGAGGGTTTTTTGCTGATCAAATAATAGAAGAAATATTTACTAATATACAGGATGTGAAAATACCCAAACTTCTTAAAATATATTTAGAAACCTAAGGACAACAGATTCTGAAAAATTCCATCCTGATGGAGAGCTTCAGGCTGATACTGTGATTTTGGGACAACTGGAGGTAATGAGTGAAATCTGCAGAGGTTCTAACTTAATTGTGGAGATAATTCCTAAACAGTTTCAATGAAACTTTACCTTTTCTCAGGCACTTTTGAAAGTGTTTGAGTATTCTAAAATCAAAACAGGCTGCCATTTTAAACAAAACCAAGATATTAACTTTATTACCTCAGTTGTAGAACGCCTAAATTGGGAAACTTTAAAGAATTGCAATTTTCAGTCACTCTCAAGTACCTTGAACAAACAAGTCTTATCATCTGAACACACAAGAATGAGGGCACTCAAAATCCAAGACACTTATAAAAAAAATCTGAAGTGTGGTTCCTTGTGATTCACTACATTGCATTAGCACATCTAAAATATTCTTGCCCACAATTCAGCATTAGTAGGTCCCTACTGCTGTGTTTTCTCATGAAAATCACGTTAACATGAGCTTCTGATTAATGTGCCTCTGCACTTATAATTACTTCATGCTGCATATCAAAGCAACATTTAAAGGAAACCACAAATGGAAGAGAAAATTAAAACGCAGCTCAAATTTATTCAGGTCACTGGAAGGATCTACTCCTGTGAGTGTGAAATATTGATGGTTTGTCATTGTTAATTATTCAAGCTGGCATTTTAACTCCAAGCTGGGAAACTGGGAGGGAAAGTGAATTTGTTAGTGGGAAGAAAAATACATATCCTGAAATTACCAGCTCTGTGTTTCCTAGATAAAGCTTCCTTCCATGCTGTTGCCTCTCCTAACAGATCCCTACTATAAAAATTAGTTCTGTCAAGTTATTGCTTTACAATATTCAGCAGGGGCTCAGAACTGGAGCTATTTAGCTAATAGAAGAGCTATAGCCTAATTTAAAAAATATTACTATAATGTAGCACCTTCTCTAAGTGCACTGCCAAGCTCTAAAGAAATGATCAATAAAGCCAGGAGAATGAGTTCAGCCAGGAAGGAAGAAAGAAAAAAACATAAGGACAAGGCAGATAAGTAATGCATCTCCTCTCACTCCTATGAAAACACATTCTTCACATACTTTCAAATATTCAGTTCAAAGCTGTTGTTTTCCAGCTCTCCTCCATGCCAGCTGCTCTTTAAAACAACAAAGCTACTTGCACAAACCTAACCAATGCCTTAAAAGAATTGATACTTGGATGTAAATCCTTTGGATGAGATTCTTTGCTGGAGTAAACTGGCTTAGACCCAACACTTTGCCAAACAGATCTAACTTTGCATTTACTTTATGCATCCATTTTTCTGTTTGTAAAAATATTGGTCTCAAAGAGCATTTTAGAGGGACAAAGCAATCCAGGAGCAGCTGGATACCTGCACAGGTCCCACAGACCCTGACACCTGTCACAGTGACTGGCTGTCACTGAAGAGATTTGTGTACCCAACATGACGAGCTGGCTCCTTCCCCCTCCTAATTCAAACACAGCACTTCCTCTGCTCTTAAATTAGTGGTCAGATTGGTTCTTGGCAAGAACTCTCATGGTCTGCTTCACCCTCAGCTCGTGGCACATGAGACTCTGCAGGTCTCCCACTCGAGCCCTGGGCTGAAAGCTTTGCTGTAGGTACTTTTAATCACAGCAGTAATATTTCAGAGCCATTATTCTCAGGCTATAGGAGCTTGAGAACAGAAGCAGCTACCCATTTTCTCCAAGGCTTAGTCCAGCTGAAAAGCCAAAACCAAGCTCTTTTTGTGCTCTAAATGTAGAATAATTACAGCATCTAACACAGAGTGACACAGGGGGAAAAACCCTCACGGTAAAAGTAGCTGATCCTTGAGGGGTAGTTAGTGCCAAAACACACAGAGGCAGAGATGGAAAGAAGTCTGATGGCAGCTCAGTCCTGACAGACAAACATCTGAAAAATAAAATTTACTAAAACCTTTGCCAAGGGATCTGTTGATAAATACTTACAGCTGTCTTCTTCTTCTGTAAAAACACTAACCACGTAACAGGCGTACACAAAGCCCACCAGCTGGAAAAGAGAGAGAATAAATGATTTTAGCATCAGCCAGTGTGAGCCTGGTCAGAACCCACTGGGCACAACTTCAACAGGCACTCTTTACACTCAGCTTGGCAGCATTTCTGTAACTGTGGAGCCAAGCCATATTTGCTGCAGGCAGGTGTGGGTGTCAGGGAAGGCACTGATGGAGCACACCCAAAGCTTCAGAAGGAAAACTTGTCAGACCCATCCTCACCTTCAGTTGCTTAAATTATTGGCAAGAACATGGGTTGGCTTTGTTGAAACTGAAGCTCCTGTGCTAAGTTAAGTCTCTGTAAGAAGTGATGGGGAGACAGGAGAGGGCCTTGTGGGACAGACAACAATAGAGCTTGAATGAGAACTCGTCAGCTCAGCATTCCTGTCATATGGGGTAAATTACCAATTAGAGGTGAGTAGTTTTTATGCAGATGAAATAGAAAATTAGTTAACCATAAGGATGGTGCTGTACTGGCAGACATGTTCAGACACCAAAATCTTTAGTAACTTGGTAGTTTCTAGAAACTCTAAAGTATCAGAGCTGCTTTACAACAGCTCACTATCAGGCTCACTATCAAGGTGTTCCTCAGTCTAAACACAGAAACAAACTCCTGCTACTATGGGAGTTAAGCATTCCAGATGCAGCAGGGTCTTATTTTGCTTTGCCTTCTTCCTGTTAATCAAATATCCTCTCCATCCTTCATTTCACATCTTTACATAACACCCCACTTAGCGAGATCTTGGTTGACAGTAACTGCATTAGTAAAGTTATTGTGAGGCATAATTGTTTTCCACTGTGAACTCAATTCCTGGGAACAAGAATCAGCCTGTAACACACAGTGACTCACTCCAAGTGGAGACAGAATGATGCATGGGAGGGCTTGAAAAGTAGAGTCCATTCATTTCTAATATGACAGAAAAATACATCACACCCGAAAACAAAAGGCAAGATAATGAGATTTCTGCTGGGGAGTTTTACAGTATTTGTGGTTCCTCCAGCTCTCCCTGACAAAACATGCCTTGTTGGGAGGAAATTGAATGTTTTTGTAGCATCACTAAACCCTATTTTTCCTTTGAAGATTTTTCTACAGTCATCTGAAAGAGAAGACAGCTTACTCCTTTCCTCTTGGGTGAGCCTTATGGGAGCACATCCCAGAAGCTCAGTGGAGGAAGGGCAGCTCTGGGGACTCCCTCATTCCTCTGCTGGGCATTTCTGAAACCAAGGCTGCTTCAGGATAAGCTCCTGTGTGCTACAGGGAAACATAAATCCTCTGGCCACATGCAATGGCCAATCTCATTGTAGCTGCTGCCTTTTAGAATTGTGTCAGAATGGAGCTATCACTGTTTAAGGCAGACAAATCAAAACCAAACAGAATATAATAGATTTTTCCTCTCTCCTATGGCTCGTACTGTAGTACCATAAACCCTGGAAATTGTTTTTTTTTCCCTGAAGTTTGTGGCAGTTTTTGGGCAGGTCAGGTCAATGAAGCTGGGCAGGGCTCTGGGGCACAAATTTGATGAGGAATGGCTGAGAGGGCTCAGGAGAAGAGGCTGAGGAAGGACCTTAATGTTCCCTGTGACTCCCTAGAAAGAGGTTGTAGCCAGGTAAAGGCTTTCTTCTCCCAAGAAACAAGCAGAAAATAGGAAATGGCCTCAAGTTGTGCCAGGGGAGGTTTGCATTGGATATTGGGGAATATTTCATCATTAAAAGAGTTATCCAGCCCTGGCAGAGGCTGCCCAGGGCAGTAGTGGAGTCACCACCCCTGGAGGCATTTAAAAGACAAGTAGATGTGGCACCTGGGGCCAGGTTCAGTGGTGGGCCTGGCAATGCTGGGGGAGCTCGATGGCCTTGGGCAGCTTTGCCGGGCCCAGGGATCGCAGGGCTCCGGCTCCGGGCTCTGGCCGTGGTGCTGAAGCCCCGGGGATGCAGGATCTGAAGAGATGCTCTTGGAAAAACAGCAGTGCGTCCTGCACATCCCAGCACTCCAGGAGAGGTGCAACCAGCCTTCTGCACACCCTGATCTCCAGCATAAAGGCACTGGAACCCAACTAACAAAGTGGGAGTGTGCTCACACACATCCTCTGTGCTTGCTCTGGCATTTTTACAGTTACAAGATCCAGCCTCTTACATCAGGTCAAATAACACAATTTACACAAATATCCAGGCAGGAAAGATGCACCCTTGTTGGAATCCTGGATGCTGAGAATTTTAAAAGCTAAAAGGCACAGATCCACAAGAGAACACTGCATTTGACCTGCGGTCGTGGAACATGCTTTTAAAGTTGATTAATAGCACTGGGATTATGGGTGTGTAGTTGGTTAGAAGTATGTAATATCACAGGGTGGAAAACTTAAGAGTTTGGGGTTTTAGAATATAGAAATAAATATGAAGCAAGATGGTGGTTTTAGGGTGGAGGCAGGTTGTTCTTCTATAGCTTCTTCCTTCTTTTTCATAGGTTTGGGTGATGTTTTGTGATTGGACAGAAAGGTCCGCATTGTAGACTTCAAGGGATCAGTTATTGGGTTAAAAGGGAAAATAATCTAGGAGTCATTTCTTAATTGGATAGTTTAGTCTTAAAAAGACCTTGTAACAAGAGTCAGTTAGCCATTCTGTGCCTTGCTAATGAAAAAGCTGCCGAACTCACAGTAGTGAGACTGTAACACAGGTAAGAAATAATAAACACCTGAGTCCAAACATGAAACACAGTCTCAAGTGCCTTCAATCCCAACCTTGAGAAACTGATACACCCTGAATACACACCCTGATTCCAAGGGAACTCCAGGACTGTTTTCTCCCTCCCCAGATTTCCCATCACACCTTTCAGAGTAGGAACTTTGGGTGAAGAGCCATGCAAAGTGCCAGCCCTAAATCCACTCGCTGTTATTATACTCTATAACACGCTGACACAAATCTTATGTGGTACCTGTGTCAGGAGACCCTGGATAGAATTACCAATGAAAATGATTTACCTGCCCAGTTTATGAGCAGAGTCAGGAACGATTATCAGCTGTACTGTCACAGCAAACCTGATAAAGCTCAGGACATTTTTCACGGTTCAGAAGCACCAAGCAATGTGATTGACTTGGGAAGTTTGCTTTGCACAGAAATTAATGCTCCATAACCCTCAACCATCATTCTGCTCACCCCATACATTTTTCACTTTATGACTAAGGTGACTTTTTTTGCATTCAGAAAAACAAACCAACCAATCAAAAGCTAGTGAATTAAGTGAACTTCCCTAAATCTCTAATCCCAGCTTCACTGCAGTGGAGGGTTTTCTTTTTTGATTCCTTCCATCTCCTGGCTTTGTTTCAAAATCATCTGCTTAGTGTTTAAAATTTACTTTTTATTAACTTTATAATCCTTTCCTTCTTTAGATGCATTTCAGCAATAAAAATAAACTTGTTTATTGAGTGGAACTTCTTATTCAAAGAAGCTTTGTCTTGTGATCTGGCCAGAACAGGAAAGTCTCAGTGGCAAGGGGGAAAGAGATGTACAACATAAATATGAATTCTGTTTTTTTATATGCTGACCCAAACTGTAATTAAATACTCTAAAGGATTCATCTATAATTAAATAACCTCAAATTAAATAATCTCAAGGATTAACTGAATTCACAAGAATCCCTGTGTCTCACCTTCAGAATAAATATGAATGAAATACAGCTAAGGAGGAGAAATGCTGCTCTGATTATCCAGTCTTTCCCCTGGAATAATCTGCTGGAGTGTGGAATCCCCAAGAAACACCTGAAATTCTCTTCTGACTGCATGTTTGATAAAGATGTGTCAAACCCCCAAACATCACCCAGTTTATCAGCAATTAACACACAACAGGAAACTTCACAGAAGCCAACAATTTGGAATAATTTCACCCTTGCTCTAAGTGCTATCCTGGCTGCTGATTTCAATACAAAGGAGGAGTTCAAGCTCTGTATCCCAGGGAAATACCAATAATTCCTGGATCTTTGCAAATTACATCGGGGAGGTGGAAGAGGAGGGAAAACGTCAGCGATGTAAAATGACACTAAGCCACTGCTCTAATTCCCCAAAGAATGTTCTAGGGCTTTAGCCCCTGCTGCTGTTTCTCTGCTTGTTCTGCATGTGCAGTACCAGCTTCTCCAAGCTGCAGAAGGATCTGGTTAAGCTTTTTATTAGGAACACATGTTGAGGGCAGGTGTGTTCTGTCAGCCTGGGAACGCACACGCTGCCCCACAGGAGAGGATGGAGCTGGGGTGCCCCAAGCACTCCACAGGCAAACAGAATGGGAAGGACAGGAGGAGACAAGTGTGCCCCAAGGGAATGGGGGGAACATATGTCTGAGCATCCCCCTGCCCCTCAGTCCTCTGAAGTGAACTTTTTTAATAGAGAGTTGAAAACTGTTCATCAAACAGCAGCATTGAATGAAGGCGCTGGAGCCAGAAAGAGTAAATCAGAGAAAAACCTGGAGAAAGGGACCAGCTGGCTGCAAGTGTGCAAAATGCACAAAGGATGGGAAGGCAAATTTTAGGAGGTGTTACACTTACTTGTGTAAGATCTTGGCTTTAGTCTACCCCTGTCCCAGTGAAACTCTTCTCTCAATAGACAAACTTGCCACTGCTTTTTCCACCACAGAAAGACTCTTCTTTCAGATGCATTCTAGGCAGATGCATTCTAGGTTTCACTTCTAATCAGAGCTAATGAAAGGTGCACACTGACATCAGTGGAAGAGGGGGAAATGAAGGGAAGTCCTCTATGAGAAAGCAAAAATCCAGCTTGTGAAAGAGCTATTGTGACCAGACAGCCAAAGAAAAGCAATCAAAATCCTTTAATTCCTTGACCTCTTTACTCTTTGGATGCAATTACAACCACTGAAAATCTACCTTCTGCCAAGAGCAAGGCATCTCTTGCACGCTGGTTCTCACATAACATCTGCTGTCAAGGCTTGCCTTGCTGCCTCCCTGGGAACCTTCCAACCTGTCAGTCTGAGTGAAAACAACAGACAGGCAGGCAGCGAGTTCTGGCGCCTGGGAAGACATTTCCAATTTCTACCCCATTCAGTGGAGCCTCAGGAAAAGCCCAAGCCTCCCCACTCCCAGAAGTACCATATGGAGAGCCCAGAGCTATGCCAGGTATTTCAGAACTGGGAATCACTCCTCTCCCTGCTGGCTGGCGAGCTGGGGACATGCAAGATGAATCCTTGCTAAGGAAAAGCAAAGCAGATTCTTATCTTGACAAAGTTGCTGCTGCATTTCCTACCTGGGTTGGTAGGATTATCTTTACAGTTCATATCTATGCCAGGACAGACTTTTAAATGTTGCCCCAATGAGCTTTTACCTCCTTTAACTTCCATGTTTTGTGCTAAAGCATTGAGAAAGATTTTCATACTGGGCCCTACAGCAACTTGTATCATGTGTGGTGACTAATACGCCCAAGTTTGACTGCATTCCAGATTAAACGAATTGCTTTTGCCTTCAAGGAGTGCAGACAAGCTCTGAGCAAAAGCAGACTGAGACCTTATGTATCCTCAAATGTATGCCCAGGAGCAGGATGATATAATCAGCAGGAGTCAAGCTGACAGCCAACACTGTGCTCACCAGATGGGTCCAGGTTTGCTTTTCCCTCTCCATTGGCATGTAAGACTGAATTCAGTCTTGTCCCAGGTACACAGCACTGCAGTACAGTCTCTCAGTAGTCTCAAGGACTTGGAACTTCCAGAAAAAAAAAAAATCAAGTGTTCACAGTTGGGCACTGCATATTCCAACAGTGTGGATTTCACAGTGCTGTATCTGGGGTGAAAACCAAACCAAGCAGAACACACCCCCCACCCCACCCCACAACTTCTCAAAAACATTAGACAAAGCAAAACCAAACTACTGAAAGCAAAATTTTGCCTGTCTGTTGCCTTTCCTAAAAGGGAACTGCCTATTCTGGTCTCAGACAAGGAGGGAAGGAGGTCATGTCTCTTGCTGCATCCCCTGAGCCTTCACATTGCTGCTTGTGTTTTTGTGCTATTGATCTGTGTCCCTGCCTGTCTGCAGCACTGTACCTGCCAGCACTCTGGGGACAGCTGCCCGTAATAAAACCTGCCTCAAAGTGAGATAAAGAGAACAGAAAAAGATACTGGCAGGGATCAAAGAGTTTGACCCTCAGAGAATAAAAAAGGGAGAGAATTGGCTGACTGCTTTCAGGCAAGGTCTGAGGGAGAAAGACTTGCTTTTTGCCTGACCTCAAAGAAGAGGGGAAAAGCTCCATTCCTTCCACTACATGACAAAATTACATGAGCATTTCAGAACCAGCAGCAGTTACAGACCTCGGGCTTCAATACTCTCCTTTTATTACAGGACAAGTAGAAATTTAGTTCACTGCATAGCTCAACCCATATGGGTTTCTTGCCTACGAGTATTTTAACCCCATTTCCAGGGTTTAGGACTCAAAAATTTATTGCACCTTAAATCTCAGGGAGAAAGAGAGAGACAGAAAGTATTTCCCTAAATCCTATTTTGTCTTATATTTCCCTCCTGTCTCCCCATCTGGCCCTTAGTGATGTTTTGCAGATGCACAGAGAATATTGTCATGTGCCTTTGGGAAGAAGCAAAGGAAAAGCCACTGCCAGAGACAGAGTTCTATATATCAGAGTGATCACTTAGCCCAGGGCCACGTGCCTAAGTCAGTGAGCTGCCAAAAAAACAAGATCTACTCCAAAAAAACTCAGTACCATTTGTTGGCTCAACCTTTGGCCCAGGGCACAGGGGCTGTACCAGCTCAGGAGTTCAGGAACAATGCTAAGAGTGAGAAATCTCTCTGCTTTAAAAGGGGATGTTATGACTGCAAAGTCTGCCCTTGTTTCACCAATCCTGTTCCACCTAAAAGCCCTCTCTGAAAGACAGCAGGCTGTATTCTCCTGGACACACAGGTTTGCCTTTTCACACACAGACATGGCAGCAGCTCTCAGACAGGTTCATGCAGATCATTTGGCCTGAAGGAGAACTGAGGGAATATCAGCAGCCAGCACACGTTCCAGGGGGCTCATCCAAGTCAGGAAACAAGAGCTTCTGCCTCTGCCTCTTCTCTGTGACATGGCAAGAAAGGGGCCTGAGCCCTCCTCCCTCCCTGCAGTTCACTGGGTCACACAGACCAGCCCAGCTAATAGGAAATGCAGGATCAGGACAGTGGAAAGCTGTACCAAAAACGTGCAGAGAAGTACTTGGCACTCCAGAAACTTGAAAAATCTCTGCTATCCTTCAGCATTTAAACAGAGCGAGTCGCCTTTCTTTTTTAAGCCAAAACTGAAAGCCAAAATGCGAATGGCTTCCCAGTACACGTTTGTAACTAAAGCCATTAACCCCAAAGCAACAACACAAAGCAGGTTAGAGCCGTGGGCTACAAAATGCAGGAGCAGCACCTAAGTGAGTGGCACAGTGGATATTTTGTTTCAGTTAATTTCACAGAAAAGTGAGAAACAACTAACAGCAAACGTTAAGGACGGTGCATTTTTTGCAGAGTACTTTAAAAAGCCTGAGGAAGACTGTGATGAGGAAAGAGTGGATGAAAACATTTAGGGAATATATCTTGGATATCAGCAGAAGGAAAACATGCTGCTTACTGCCTCCTAAAAGGTGATTTCATTTTCTGGAGATTGTTCACAACAAAGGTGTAGGTATGTGCTCCACCACCCATCACTGAGCCATGGGGAGTAAAAGCAATTCTGCATAGAAATATGGAATTAAGGTTGGAAGAAACCTTTTAAGACCAAGTCAATCATCAATCCAGCATCACCACCACGTTCATCATTAAACCATGTCCTCAAGTTCTATATCCACACATTTTTTGAACACTTCCAGGTATGGTGGCTCCACCACTTCCCTGAGCAGCTGGTTCCAGTACTTTACAACCCTTTCTGTGCTGAAATTGTCCCCAGTATCCAAACTAAACCTCCCCAGTGTAATATGATGCCATTTCCTCTTGTCCTGTCAAAACCTTCCCTTTTGACCCTCCTCCAGACGGGTCTCTGTCCTTGTCAAAATGTGAATTCCCACACCCCAACAGGGATTCAGAACCCTTTGTTGCTGCATGGTTGCACAGATACTTCAAGCATCAGGCTGCTGATACCCATTTCCAACTGTTTCAAGCAGTATTTCCGTAAGAGAGAACAGGAGAACAATCCAACAAAAAGCATTTAGAGAGGCTTTTGCAATCAGGCAATACAAAAAGTGGTGGAAAACACAGGCCAGCCTGTGTGACTGGAAAAGAACAAAACCAAAGCAGCATCTCGTGAGGAGCTGCTCCCTCAGGAGGCACTCACCGCGATGAGGATCTGGAAGGAGCTGTGCATGACCTCGATGTAGCGGTACTCCAGGGCACAGCCGATGACAGAGATGTAGGAATGGTTATCCAGCCCCTTGATGCCAGACATGGAAGCCTCCTTCCTTACACAGCCAGGGCCATTTTCACTCCACCAGGATTGGTGCCGGGAGATGTTGAATGTCAGGAGCTCGCTGTCCTAAAGGGAAGAGTTGCCAAGAGAGCTCTGTTTACTCTGAGAGTGGCAGGCATGCTGTCAGATGGAGTTTTCTGTTAAATCAATGGAAAACTTAGTTTCTGAGATCCCCACTCCCCAAAAATGCTAGCACAGATCAAAGCACATTGGCTTGATATACCTTCCTAGAATCATGGAATGGTTTGGTTTGGAAGGGACCTTAAAAAACCTTCCACTATCCCAGGTTGCTCCAAGCCCCATCCAGCCTGGCCTTGAACACTTCCAGGCATGGAGCAGCTACAGCTTCTCTGGACAATCTGTGCCAGGGCCTCCCCAGCCTCACAGGGAAGAATTTCTTCCTATTACCTAATGTAAATATACATCCCAGGCAGGCTGCTGTGATGAGAACCACTCCTGAGGCAGCCCTGCAACAAATATATTCCACCATCCTCTAGCAGCACAATTTGGGTGCAGGCTGCAGACCCAAGAACATTTTGCTAGTGGTTTCTTCAGCCAGAAAAGAACTCTCAAGTGTTGGGTTTGGGAGATGAACCCTGTAACTCCAGAGGAAAAAGGTAAACAAGGCAGCACTAAGTGTCCTGTCAGGCTCTTCCCAGCATGGGAATCAACACAAGCACCTGGAAAATATGAACTTCATAACCCCAAAGAGAGTTTCAAAACCCAACAGATCTTCCTCTGTTCCTAGCTTTTAACAGGTCTGACAAGATCTTGCACCAATTTTACCTGATCTCCCTCCACACTCTTCATAACTGGTGCTTCTGCATCTCCTGTCAGCCCCAGCCAAGCCAAGCCCAGGTGACCTCACAGTGCTGACTGCAGCTTCTTCCAAACTCCTCCCCTGCAATTTCTTATCAACTTTACCTCAAAAGTGTTTGTGTTTTGCTCCCTTGCCTTTCCTAGGTAAATACTTTAAACCACTTGAGGGGGTTACAGAGTGAAATGCCACACAAGGAGTGCAGGGCTTTGGTGTGCAGCCAGGTACTTATTTAAAAACTACCATACTTTCCTCACACTTGAGAAAAGCTTAGTATTTGTAGGAATACTCAGAAGAGCTTTGGGATTTTGAGCTTGCAGGACATGGCAAAGGTAAAAGACAAACTCAGGACTGGCTGAACAGCTGCAACACTTCATGGATGAGTGCCAAGTGCTGGCTGCCCCTGAAAGCCTCTCAGGTCACTTTGATGCAGAATCAACAATTCCCTTTGACCATAAAACAAGGAAAGGGGTTGGAAGTTTTATTCTGAAGAATAGATTAAAAAATTTAAAGGCAGAGAACCTGTATCTCTACAGAGAGGGATGAATGCTGGATATCCACACGTCACCCACCCATTACTAAAGGTTTTAGCACCTATCCATAAACTATTTCACACTGTTCCTGCCAGGGTCCCACACAGTCCTGGGAGAAAAGCCATGGCTCCCAGAACAGCAGCAGTCAGAGCTTGGGGTATTCACACTTCCCAACATGGAAAACCTCACATGGCAGCTCCTTTGTGTCAGCTCCCCGTCGAGTCAAAAGGAAAAACAGATTCAGAGCAGCTTATCCAAGCCCCTGCTCCAAATTACCCTCCAGAGAGGGCCTGTCTCCACAGCCAACACAGGAGCCAAGCCAGGCAGTCCTGCAGATAGAAAACAGACACTGAAAAGCATGTCCAGGGCCAAACTCGAGTCACAGGGGCAGGAACCTGAATGCCAGCCAGAGCACCAGTGAACAGTGCCCAGCTGCCCTGCCTGCACCTTGTGTGGGGACCCTCTGTCCAGCACAGACACCCCAAAGCAGCCTGCAGAGCCCTTATTCCAATCTGCTGCAGGAAGCACGTGCTGAGAAATGGGGACAATGAGGTGAGAAGACAGCTGCCAAGCTCCTGACATAATCACCACAGCAGATGGCATGTGCTGTGCAGGAGATGGAGCGTGGCACCGGGGCAGCAAAGACAACGGGGAAAAAACTCCATGAAGAGTTGGGAGATCAGCCCTCTCCTAGGCTTCACCCTTCAGTGGCCCACACATAGCTCAGGAAGTCACCAAATCACAGCTTTTCTGCAAAGCTTGGTCTTCTTCCCCCAAGTTTGTGTATTATGAGGCTGATGGATTTTCCCCAGCCAAAGCCAGGCCTCCAGGCTGGGCTCTCCTCTCTCACACAAGGCACTCGCTGCTTTGGTTGGGAAAAGAAGAAAACATCTTTCTCAAAAAACAAAACAAACCCCCACAAACAAACAGAAACAACCAAGAAAACCCCCAAGTGAATTCCTGTTTCTTTGCCTGGGGCTCCCCCCATTAGCACTGAACCAAAGCTGTTCCCCAGGGCACCACAGGATCTGCTCTCAACCTCAGTCCCCAGGGCTTCCCTCTCCCAGCTCACAGATGGTGCCTCCCCAAACCTTCTGCCTCACTGATGCAGACAGAGCCCTCAGTGTCCTTTCTGCTCCTTACAGAGGCATCAGTGTGTGTTTGGCAGAGGAAGAAACAGGCTGCTTTCCTTCTAGAATCTCCCTTTTGTCAGCCTTCGGAGATTTGGCTCTGGCTTAACTTTGCTGTACTTGCAGTAAAGAAGAAAAAGAAGCTGAACTTGCTTGTAAATTCAGCCTAAAAAAGCAGAACAAGTGTAGCTGGAGGTGGGCAGGTGGAGGAACAGAGGTCCTAACCAGCTCTCACTAACCAGCTATCACACTCCAGCTCTGAACAAAAGAAAAAAATAAAGAAGGGGAAAAAAATTAAAAATTTCTACATCAGTGAAGAGCAGATTGGCAAAACTGAGCACATTTGGATTCTAAAAGCACCACAATGCCTCAGACTCGTGAGCCATCCATCTCACAGATGTAAAGTGAATACTGATTGCACACTGGGATCAGGGAATGTCTCTGTGTTCACAGCCACCTTCCTGAACCAGCCCCTGTCTGGAGCAAGGGCAGCACGAGAGGGTCTCAAGATGCAAAGCAGAGCAGTTCCTTTGCCTGTGTCCCTGGCTGGGTGCCCTCGGGGGATACCTGTGTGATGGGGCACAATAAAAAGGGCACTCAAGAAAATCCCTTTGTTGCTCAGAGCTTGCTGGGAGACCACAAAAACAACTCCAGGATGTCTCCTGTGGTTTGCCAGCTTCGTTTGTGTGAGAATGCAGTTGGAGAGAAGCGAGACCATGAACAGAACAGCACACAAAAATCGGGAGAAAAGAGACAGTTTTAAGAAGGTTTAGGGAACAGCTGTTTCCCAAAAGCTTTCTGTGATGCATTTGAAATCTAAACACACTGAAATGCTCCCAGAAGTGGAATGTGGGTTGGGAGATGTTACTCAGCCCCAGCAGTGAGCCAGCCCTGCTGCAGGGAGAGGGATCCGTGTGTGCCAGGGCTATCAGTGCCTCTTTCACCCCCAGCCTGGAGGGGAACACCAGCCAGCAGCCACCCAAGCTCCTTCTCGGAGCACTTTGAAGGCCAGCCAAAAAACATCACATCTCACTCTGAGCTGCTGCAGCACCTGGCTGCCACCCATCAGCACCAGGGTGAGAGGGAAGACAAGAGCACTGAACCTGCAGCACCCACATTTCCCTGAGCCTCTTTTCCCCAGTGTGACCCATGGGAAACTCACACCTACCTCCAACACCCACGGAGCCAGCTGTGCTCTTTTGCTAAAATAGCTTCCTGAAAGCTGCTCTGAAATTATTTTCTAAGGGACACTATCAGAGGTGGTTTTATTTCTTGTTTTAAACAGCCTTCTGAATTGCCTCCCCCAAATTTCCTTAATTATCAGGCAAAACCACACTAGGACAGCTCTGGAACAAACTGAACCTCATTTGGGAGCCACCAGAGCTTGACAGCAGAAACATTTTGAATCTTTTTAGATGGAAACATTTCTTATTAAAATAAGAAATATCATGTTCATCTTTCAGTACTGCATCACCTTGAGACACAGAGAAACACTCCCAGTGTCTCTCAGTGGGTTTGTTGACAATGCCACAGCATTTAAAAGCCAAATCTCAGGCTTCCAAGTTCTAAATTTAGAAGGAGTTGAGGGACAGTTTTACATACACATGCATTTATCCATCCTCCTGGTATTTTAACCAGGTACAAAGTCATCCCAAGATGCCACCCAGATTCTCTGAAATACAAATAACCCTGTTTGTCTCACAAGGGCTGCTTCCATTTCAAGAGGAGCTTTAGACCACCACAGCTCTGGATTCAGATCAAAGCAGTGCATAGACAAGAGAGAATATAAAGGAAGGATAAAAAAATAATAGAAAATCACCATTCAAGAAGGATAATTCCAAAGGGAAAAGACAAAGGAATACATTGAAATACAGGACACCAGTTCCTCAAACCTCTCTGAATATTTTGCAAGTACATGATGAAGAGTCAGTCAGCATGGCAGCTGGACAGACATATGCTCATATGTCTTAACAGCAGGATTTTAATAATTAACTCAGACTGAGGGGTTGCAGGAGGGATGCGTTTCACGCTCGAGTAGACAGCGAGAAGCTTAACATATTATTGCAAACACAGCCTGCAAACTGCAGAGCAACTCCCAGCAATTCACTACCCAAATGGCCAGATGGATGTGGGGAAAAGAGGGAGATGGGACAGGAAGAACAACAGCAACCTGGAAATTGGGCTGTGAGCCCCACCACGGAGCAGTGGCACAGCACCTGGAGCTGCAAGTGTGCTCAGGAGCAGAGCAAGTCAGCAGGGCAAGGCTGCCAGAAGCTGCTCCGAGCACATCACCACCTCCTGCCAGTGCTGAGAAGCAGCTCTGCAAATCCAGGCTGCTCCAGCACTCTCCTGCTCACTGACAGAGCACTTCCAGGGAAGCTGGCATGAGCTATGTGCCTGGGCATTCCAGCAGCAAGGGAAGGTGCTGATCCACCTGGGTCTGGCCACCAAAGGAAGTTCTGCTGGGCCATACTTCACACTCTTACTCCTGCTAAGAAAATATTCCAAGATAAAAACCCTGGCAGGATAGAAAGACAGAAATCAAGTCAGTCTAGCTCTTCCAAGAAGTAGGGAATAGATTCAGTGATCAGCAGAATTTTCCTTTGAATAAAAAATTCAGCACAACTAGTGATTGGTAACTGGTTAGTAATTAGTTATAATTCCCCTGAGCAGGGCTGACCAGAACAGCATCCTCAGCAATTCCAGGGCCAGGAGACATGGAATGGACATGCTGGAATAACCTGGAAGATATAGGAGCACTTCAAGAAATGTGAAAGACAGGAGGAAAGAGGGTGAGAAGTGGAGGGAAGACACAGCAGAGAACAATTCCTTGGTAAGGGAAAGCCAACAGCCAAACTGCACCTACCAGCCCTATTCTACTGATGACCTAAAGCTCATAACTGAGAGATTGTCTCAACTCCTTTGCCAGATCACTCATGGGCTGACATGGGACTGTGGGATCCCTGGATTCTGTTCATGAGATCAGCCAGGCACCCAAAGCAAGGGGGGCACAAGGACAACATCCCTGTTCTTGTGAGCAGCAATTCCCTGCCCTCATCCTGCATCCCTTCACTGCTGTGAAGTCAGATCTAGGCAGCAGAGCACAAAGAATTGTTTGCAATGAACACACATAACTGTTTCCTCATCTTTTCAATTCACTGTGGTTTTCTCAAATCTGTTACACTGGAAACACTTGAATCCTTTCTCTGCTTTCTCACCCCACCTGAGTTATCACCTGTGTCAGCTGCACTGGGCTGTCATTACCAGGCACCAGTTACCAAACTCCATTCTCTCCAGTTCCCTGCCCTTTCTGCATTCTCTCACTGTTAATAAGCTGCTGACAGAGCCTGCCCTGGCAGGCTGCCCTTGTCAGAGCACAGCAGGATCAGTGCAGGGCTGGCAGGAATGCCACACTCCCACTCCCCCAGGCTCACCAGCAATCCCAAAGGAAACAGCACCCTGAGGACCTCCAGAGCTCTCAGCCCCTTAAGGGACTTGCACAACGCTGTCCAAGCACTCCCCAGTGTGCTCACGCTCAGTCTAGTAGTTAATGAGCTTGTGTTTATCAGACCAGCTCCATCAGCCTCCCTCCACCAAAGCTCTTCTTCCAATATTTGCAATTTCCCTGCCTATTGCCAGGCTCATGATGAGCTTTGACTCCTGGTCAGGGCTGGAGGGCAGCCTCCTCCCGAGGGCCCTGGGGCACACAGAGGCACCTGCAGCCCTAGAATCTGCCATCCACTCCTGGCTGACACTGCCCTGCCCTTGTCCAGCCAAGCCCAGATGTACTTCTGGGGTCTGATCCCACGACTGACATCAATAAAACACCAGCTGCCTTGGATCAGGTTTCCAGAGATGCAGCAGGAGAGCCTGTGAAGTGTCCTACAGAAACCTCAGCTCCTGCTTCAGGTGGATCTTTTGGTCTCTGGTGGAAGCGAAGATTTGTTTTGCCACTACAAAGACCCAAATTACTTCAGTGAAAGTGGAGGAGGATGGGAAGAAGCATCATTAGTTTTCCTTACAAAACAGCTTTTTAAAGTGAGAATAGCTCATTAAGAACAGAGGCAAGGCTGTCAACTACTTTACAGCCAAGCAAGCACAAATTCTCTCTTGGTTTTGCTGGTTGCCATTAAATGAACTAATTTCTCTTTGCAGCCTAAGAGGAAAGTCCACTGAGTCAGTAACAACTTACACTGCAGCCCAACTCTATAAAAAACACCCCCAGTCACAAGTGTCACCCTGGAGGCTAAAGGAAACCTCTCTGTGTGCTGGCTTGGCTAAAATGAGCCCCAGCACAGAGCAAGGTCACCAGGAGAAGCTCCTGTGTGGCACAAAAGGAGTTTGTGGTGCTGTTTTTGAACTGCAGAACAGCAACCTGATGTGTTGCAGTGCAGGTTGGGATTAGCAAACACGAGTATCCAGCTGGCTGGAAGCAAACACTGGCTCTGAGAAGCTCCCAGAGCAGTTTATCAAGCCAACATTTTCTCTGCAGAAGGGAGTATTTGAACAGTTACATAAAATTCTTTTTTTTTCAGTTGGTCACGGCCAACATCAAGATCATCTCAGGCTGAGATTTCAGACTATGAATAATCACTGTTTTGGGCAAGAACTCCCTCAAAGTTTATGGAGTTAATTGAGAGGGGAAATGAAGATGAATTGAGACATTAGAAAGTCACATTTTCTTATCTGCAAAGGATTTTGGCTGCCACTCTTGACTTGCTGTAGGCCTGATAAAACCACAGGGCAATTCCAATTATGACTGCAACTCCAGCCCATGACCTGGAATTTGGGCCAGATGTGGAGCACTCTGAAATGAACCTGCATCTCACACTCTGAGTCTGCTGTGCTACAGCAACACTCAGAATTCATTGCTTACAGCCCAGGCTTAATTTAGGGCCTGCCTCCCATTTTTATTATTTCTGACTCACCCCTCATTAGGCAGACAGCAATACTCAGCTAATCTAGTCTTCAAAGAACTTTGCATATTAACTCACAACAGCCTGGCCAGCAGCCATGAGAAACTACAACTGTACTTAAAAAGGAAGAAGGGAAGCACATCCCAAGGAGATGAGCCAGAACCCTCTGGGGAGGGATGTTCTCTGCTCAGCAGACAGAGGAGCCTCTCCCCAAAGGTACAACAGGAAATATTTTGCCACAACCACAGGCAAAGCAAGTCTTCAGCAGGACTGGGAGGCACAAAAACATCAGGAGAGGGTCAGGTGTAGAGTTCCAGCAAAGTCCTTGGCTCAGGTCAACCCAGGCAGCCCTTCCCTGGGGCAGGCTGGCAGAAAGGCCACACTCAGTGCTGCACCAGGGCCCTCCCCTCCATCACACACCCTCCTGCCAAGGTGGGCTCAGATCCCAGGAGGATCCGCTGCAATCTGGGGATCTCCTAGCCCTCCTCTGCACCACTGCTGGGAGCTGGAGCTGCCCTCAAACCCCCCCTCCCCGCAGGATGGTTCTGCTGCCAGGTCTGCTCTCACCTCTGGAAAGCAAATGCACTCCAGCTGCTGTGAGGGTAGCAGGGTTTATTCCAGCCACCACCTGCACCAACCAGCCAAAAGCTCCAAAAACCAACAGTGACTCCTCAGTTTTCCCCATCCTTGCTAAGGCAGCCCCCTCGACAGGCAGGAGGGCAGGACCTGCTCCCAGCCCTCACCTCAGCCATGCCAGCCCGCCCCTCCCCACTCAGCTCCACACCCTCTGCTGCAAAGCCTGGGCACTCACCTTTGAGAGCCCTCCCACTTCTAAGTAAAAGCAGATGATGAAGATGTTCCAGGTGACCCAGACTGCAGTCCAGATGGCATACTGGGAAGGAATGGGGTTGGGGAGAGAGAAGCAATAAACATTAGGAAGTCACTGGAATTAGTGTCTATATATATATTTATATTAATGTATGTGTGCCCTAGCTGGAGGCAGTGGAATGCCCTGAGTCAGCACTGAAATCCTTTTTTTCTTCCTCTGATTGTTCTCCATATTCAAATGCTCTCTTGACTGAAAAGCCACACAGGGGCTGGAGGGATGGAAGAGTTTCTCTGCTGCACTTGTCCAGCCCCTCACCCTCCCTCTCAGCTGGGCAGCATTTGGGCAGGGCTCCCTAGAACGACCTGCAACCTTCCCAGTCTGGCACACGCGGGTTCCTGGGCACAGCCAGGCACTCCCTCTGCCTAGAGCAGCGTGCAGGGCTCCTGCCTGGGCACCCAGGGGCTCTGCTCTGCCCCTCACCCCCAGAGCAGGGCTGGGCCAGGCTGTGGCTGCCCAGGTGTCACTCACCACCACGATGTAGCGGGGTCTGTACTGGATGGTGCCGAAGAGCCCCAGGATGACGATGATGATGTGCAGGAAGTTGGCGAGGATGGGGGCCCACTGGTACCCCAGGAAGTCGAACACTTGCCTCTCCAGTGCAGCGAGCTGGAGGGAGAAGGAAAAGGAGAGTTACAGTCCTGCAGCCACAGTGGTTGTGCTCAGGGCTTTCACACGCTCCCTGAGCAAAGCCCTGTGGCAGCTGAAGGTGGAACTCCATTCCCAAAGCAATTTGCTGCCCCTGAACCAGGTCAGCAGGACACAAGGCTTGTTTACACATCCCCTCTGCTCCCATCCCAGCTCCTCTGATGGCTGAGCTGCAGGGCTGTGTGGGACATTCCTCTGTGGGGCTCTGGCAGAGGGGAGCAGAGGGATGGGGACATCTTCAATGTTGAAAGTGAAATCCATTCACAAAGATGTCGGTGTAACTTTCTAGAGCTCATTTCTCAGAGCCTTCAGCATCACTCCATCATTCCTGACACCTCCTGTGTTTCTGCTCTCTGGCACACATCCATCAAAGTGAGGGAGAGGAGGAAACTCTCTCCTCCACCTTTGCCCCTCAGAAAATGCTGCCACCAGTAAGGAAATTCTGCCAACACATCAGTTTTCCAGGACAGACTGTGTTCCTCTCCAGCACTAATAACATGTTTCAAGGCTAGTGCTGTGTTCTAGATGTAAAACTCCATTACTGTTGGAGTGCTGGGGCTGATTCTCAAACCACATCTGCATAAAGATGTGTTTTTTACCTGTAGCCATCATCTGTGTATCAGACAACATCTGGTCCCCTGGCCCTGAGCCTCTGTGCAGCTGAAAAAGCACAGAGGACGTGCAATTGCTTGCTGGCTTTTGCATGCCCACAGCCTTTAAATCATCTATCTATAGGAGAAATATAGTGAGTGTAGGGGGAAAAACTGCTAATGCAGGCTTTTCTCCCTTGCCCAGCCTTGCATGGAGAGATCTTCTGGGTTTTTTTTTTGTCTTTATTAGCACAGTGCAAGCCCCTCCATGGACCTGTGTCTTCCTTGTCAGTACAAGATTTGAAAGTATGTTTAATTATCACAGTAGGCCACTGGGATTGCATTATGACATTTCATATTTATTTTTGGCTAAATAAATAATTACAATTTACTATCGACAGTCAATATTAATTTAACTCCTAATCAGGCATTAACCATGAGTAATCCTGGTCTGCTGTGTGTAATCAGCTATGTGACACCTTTTCCTGGCTGGGATCTAAGCAGCAGTGCTTCTGGGATGGCTTAAAGCATTTAAGGATGTGAGCGGCTGCAGGTTCCTCTCAAGCCCCAGAATGAGAGAAGCCACATCTGCTAAATGACCATTATTATTCCTCCTTCTTCCTGGCTCAGTGGGGAAATTGCCTTCACACCTCTCTTGGGCTAGGAAGGTATTTCAATTCCCAACACTACTTTGAAAGTTCAATAAAAATCTGTATTTCAAAGAAATCTGTGGTTAAGGGCAATCAGTCAGGGAGGGGGTAGACAGCTTCCCCTCTGTGCTATCCTATTCCCAAGAAGGACAGAAAGTGGGGAAGGAATGGAAGCAGTCACCAAATCTCTCTCTTCTGCCAAATAATCTTCCCTTAGAAGCAGGACCCTCTGCTCCCTCTGAAGCACCTGGAAGATGCTGTGGCCTCAGAGGGGCTGTGGGGCGAGTGCTGCTCCCCCAGCACAGCAGGTTTGCCACCCCAGCCACAGGTTAAACGCTTAATCCTTCAGCAGGGATTAACACTGGGACATTTGGGATCCTGACTGGCTGGCACAGGGCCCCTTGACTGTGCCTGCTTCATCCAATCAGGCATTTAATTGGCTTTGTGTGTTCCAGGAGGAGTGTGAGAGCCTCACCCTGCCCGGGGACACAGTGGGGTGTTCACTGAGGTCCAGCCCTGCCCAGCCTCCCCTCCTGCCTGCAGGCTCTGAAAACCAGGATGAGCACAGACCCCTCCTACCCAGCCTTCTGACATGAGCTTTCCCACCCCAGAATCAGGGCAAGCCATGTCTGGAGTGTGTTTTCTTCTCCATTCTACTCCATGAGTATTTGTCATTAGGGGAAAGCTTGTCCTGCCACAACCTTATTTTATTTCCTGGTTTGTTTGCACCAGGGCTGTGAAGTGACAGATAAACGACCACCATGGAGATGGATCTGCCAATCTACACAACTTCAGATTTGGGCACAGCTTCTTTTTCCCCATAACCCTGAAAATTATCTTCACCATACTTCCTTCTCCCTCACCTCTCTTGTCTCCAGGTTCTTTCCATCCTGATTTACTTTCTTGTGCCACTTTCCCAGCATTATTAAACTGGATTTGTGTACCTGGGAACTTCAGGCAAGAGATGCTGCTCCAGAGATGGGCTGTGCCCATCTGCTGGCTCAGGGAAGGAGAGGGGATGTGGGATGTGTGAGCTCACACAAGCTGTTTCCTCATCTATAAAAAAAAAATTATGATTTTTCTGTAAAACATGTTGGTGACAAGCAAATGCTACTGCTGAAATTCCAACACTGTGTTAGTGACAGGCAGGGAGTGAGTCTGCTGCAATCCAGACATTGGAAATACAGCCTGCAGTTATCCTGGGCTTCCCCCTGTTCCCTCAGGAACTTACCATAATGAAGGAAATATTTGCTGGAAACAAATTGAGAAACACCCATTGCACTCGTTCCACTGCAGGTCTGTGTGCACAGCTTACCCACAAAATGCTGCTGAGATTTGCAGGTAAACAGAGCTGATGCTGCGGCTTGATTTGGGGTTGGGATGTGAAGAATGCCACAGTGTCCTTCAGCCCTGGTCCCTCCAGTCCTGCTCAGAGATGCAGGGCCAGGCTTTGCCCTGATCTCCGTCCCCTCTCTGGGACTGAGCCTCTCTGGGTGCCTCTTGCTGAGCAGGGAAATGCCATCTTTCTTTCTCCTGTGCTGCCAGGTTTGTGCACAGCAATATCCTCACTGTGGAGGTCCTCACCATGATTCACACTGTCCTACTGAGAAAGCCTATTATATTCCAGAGATACTGGTTCTAAAGAGAAATGTCACCGATTGTGACACAGGTTTCAACCCACTCAAAGCTGACAGTACCTTTCCATCAGGGAGGACAAATTTTTCTTCTTTATGACCGTTCTTATTAAAACAAGGATTCCTTCTGCTCCTTCTGCTTCTCTAACCCATAGTATACTTTTTCCTTTCCTTCTTTAAATTAAATGATTTATTGCAGCACTAAAATCAGAAGAGTTGTGGCAGAATTTTCTCTTCTAAAATAAACCCCATTTCTGCTGATCTGAGTGAAACTGGAGTAGCAAATAACCACGTGAAGCAATTGTTAGCCAGGCAAACAACACAAGCCAAAGCTCTCTCTTGGGCCATCATTCATTTATACAGCTGGGGAAGAGATGAAAGGCAGAGGGATGTTCTGCAGCTCAGGGAGCCCATCCCACAGCCCACACACAGGGAGCACAGAGAGCTCTGGAGATCCTCAGGGGCATCACACCATAAAACTTCTCCAGAGAGAGAAGCTGTACCTGAGCTGGAGGGGTGCCCAAAGCAAAACAGCAAAAAAGTCCTAGAAAACATCTCAAAACATGGGACAGCTTCTCACTGGGGGTTCAAACCATTCCAACTGCTTTTCCAATGGCTCTGGCAGGACAGTGTCACTGGCAGGTGTCACTGCCAGCAGGACACGGAGCTGGTTCAGCATGGCCTGGGGGTGCTTGTTTAAATTCCAGTCCCTCAAATCTTTTCTATCCCCTCAACTTTGTCTTCTGTTGCTCCTCTCCTGCTGATAAGCTGGAGAGTCCAACCTGCTCCCCTGTGCCCCCATACTGCTGAGGAGGAAGGGATGCTGCTGAACAGTCAGGCACCTGTAATTCCTTAACTCCCTTTATAACCTACTATCAAAGCCATGTTATCAGCTAGATTTGCTCTTCTTAATTTATTAAGCTTTTAAAGCCTTTAATCTTATTTGGTTTGTAACTGTGTCTTTCACTGCATTTCTGAAATCAATTGGGACACAAAAGAAAAAAATATCAGTCTCAAGACATGTTGACTCATACAGACACAGGAAAGGTGCTCAGAAAACCCCACAACAGGTACAGTCGCACATCCTTTTGTATTTATTTCTGTAAGCAAACCTGCTTTTAACCTTAAGTGTCAAAATGAAATGTTAAATATCCAAGAGGGCAATAAAGGGAA